ATTAAAAGTAAAGAAATTAAAATCTTCTTTGACTTAGGACATATGATTCAGAGTTTAAGGACTCATTATTGGATTAGTCATGCAAATCTAGTGTATCTAACAATAGAAGCCATTTTTTACGATTATTGGTAAAATTATAAACCATTGTTTGTAAAAACTTCAATTTATTACGCAAGCAAGGAGTCCTTATAGGAAATCATCTTTTGAAATATAAAAGATAGATAAATATTTGCATGGATATTCTATTAATAATTAGATGGTTTATGGAATTGCATAAGATACTTTACTAACAATTAGCTGGGAATGTTTGATCTTACAAAAGCAAGATATATTAAATTAAAAAAAATTTAGAAAAAAAAATATTATAAATTTCGAACTGTAAACATCATTATTTCTGGCCTACTTGCTTAGCAGTAATTGACACTGAATGTTGCCGGTTAAATTATTATAATCTTCTTTTAGATTATCTGTAAAACCTAATTAAAATTAAAAATTATTAAATAAAACAATGGCTAAATCAATAGTTGTTATACTTAAAACAAATTTTAAAAATTTTGAGCTTTATTTTTAGTTTATTATCAAATTATATTTAATCTCTTCTTATATTTATTAAAATAAAAAAATTTTGTTTATACATTTAAAATAATTATGTTAATTTTTAGGAATTGCGCATAAAAATTTTCTTTTTAAATTAAGATATGTTTTCAAACTTAATTTTGCAAAATAGAAAACAAAAATTATTTATACTGTTCAATACACAGAAATGGCAAATCGGTAAATAAATAAAATTCAAAGTCGCGTATACGTGATGATCTTTCAATAATTTTAAATTAGAAGTGAACCAAATTTTATCAACTGATGCACAATTATTCACTTATGGTGCAAGTGTCTCCTAAATTGTTCTAAGTATTGCGTGTGCAATTGGAAGCGACGCACAGCCGCAATTAGCGCAACGAGAGCCGCTGATTATACGGCACGTTGCACATGAGCGCCAACAATCAATGAATGCGGCAATGAGAAAATTGAAAGCCAGAGCACCGCGCGTGCTATTTTTAGCAGCAAACCGCCGACACTTTTAATATTGAGATGATGTCACATTAATTTACTGCATGAGGTCAGCTCACTTTTAGCCGCCGCGTCCTGCCCGCGCCGCGGACCGACAATGCCGACGAGATAATTGCGTGCACACAAAGACACTCACACGAGAGTATGCGAATTTACGGCGCGACCACTTTCCTTTGGCGCACCCACAGCGCCCGGATGCGAACTCTAAGTGCAATCTATAGGCGCAAAATACTTCAATTAGAATTTAGATGAAAGTAATGCGAGATTTGATTGGGAAAGTTTGAAAATATTCTTCAAATAGTTGTCAGTGTGCGTGTATTTTTTGCTGTTTTATTTATTTGTGACACTAAAGATATAATTTTTGAGTTATTTAGAATGAATTTCTTAACTAAAAGTAAAAATTTTGGTATGCCTCCAATCTTTCAAGTGAAGTTTTTCTCCCACATTTTCAGTAAAACCACGTAAACATTTTAAAAATTTAAATATCTCGTTTGGTTTTTATTTAATTTCTCATTAGTAATGTTTATAAATATATCACCGGGCATTCTCTTCCCAAATATTTAATATCTAAAATCAATTTATTACAAATTGTATCAATCATATGTCATAAGAGAGATAATAGAAGAGAAACAGTTCAATTAAGACCAAAAAATCTCGAGATTTATATTATTCTTTACTCTGATTTGTGTCAAGATAAATTTTTAATGATTGGATCAAGCTGAATAATTCAATTTGTAATAGTTTCATTTCATGTCTAAAACAAAATTTATTCATTCCCGATGGACAATAATAAAATAAATATCATAATCTTTGTGTTTTTTTAAACATTTAAACATTTTAGTGTTTCTGAGGAACAATCATTAAGGTTATAATCTTTCAAAATTACTTTAAAAATTAACATTAAATGCATTCGTGTACGATTACACAAAATTTAAAAAAGCATATATTTGATAACGTAAAAGAGTTTAAATTTAAACTAGGATTTCCTCGCTTATGGTTTTGCGGCTGATTTGCGGATTAAAGAAAACAACTCTCTTGAAAAAAAAACCCCACAAATTATGCTTTTAAAAACTTATAATACCATAAAATTCATTCACATTAGATTGTAAAACTGTCAAGTAGTTTTGTTATGACGTCAGAAGGTTTAAAAAATCCGAAATAGGATTTCCTCAATATCGGTTTCGCGGCTGGTTTTGTGGATAAAAGAAAAAAAATACACAATCAAAGAGTCATGGTTTCCAGATAAAAAAAATTATGAATGAAGCATTAAAATTTTTCGCTGGAAATAAATGTATGGCTAATAGTAAACATAATTCACAAGCATCTCATTAGTCATCGTAAAAATTGATTGGTTGTTTTGTTTTAGCATTTTCAGAAGTAGAGTTCAATTTTCCCTCAAAATTTGAATGCAATTTAACGCACTAATAATTATATTCAGTTTAGATTAAAAAAATTGCAGATTTAAAAATTATTTCAAAAGTTAGACCTTTTAAAGAAATATTTACCTAAAAGTTTATGTTTTTCTCCTATAAAAAATTAGCTAATAGGGTTTCTAAATTAAATTTTCCCAACCGCGATATAATATTAATGATACAGGGCGGCGTCACCGTTGGCACCTGTTGTACTTTGGTGGGCGTGGAAAGGTGTGTTCCGTCGGGACAGGTGTGCGTCAGGCAGGTGGCCGGGTCGGCGATTGGTGCGCGCACACTCTGCATTAACGGTGCTCGCGGCCAATGGAGAACGGAGAACGCGCGGCACCGCCGGCGACTCGATCGGCCGCCTTTGCTCCGCGCCCTTCGCGGCGGCTCCTCCGCTGCTGGCTCGCGCCCCGCGCAAAGACATACAAAATAATATATAACGACGACGAGAATATAAAAGACTCACACCGGCGGCCATTGCAAAATTATACACACAACAGTCGTATAACGTGCACTTTGCATAAATAAACACAGCTTGCGAAACTTGCACTTTGATTGAAATGTGAAAGACTGATTAGTTTGTTTGGTTCCAGGGATTTAATCAATAAAGAAACTTTGGAATTTAATTATTTGTCTTTCAAATGCGAAAAAAAAATTTAAATGTGGAAACTGCAAAATTTGATGTTTCTTTATAGGTTCTTAATAGTTGTTGTTGTGGAACCTTTTGGCACTTGATATGTTCATTTTTTGATGAAATAAAATCACTTTCGTTTCGTTTTCCGATGAGAAAGGAGCTCATGAATTAGGATTGCAACTGAAACTAGTTATAGAGCAGTGATTTTCTGTATTACACAGAAACAATAAAATTCTTCATGAGGAAGCCGGATTTTATTTCTGCAAAATATAAGTTTCTAATCTATCATAGTTTTTAAATTTATTAAATATATTTATTGAATAAACATATAAACAGATAAATTTGTCTTTAATTTATATATTTGAGTATTTATATATTTATTTATTTTATCCATTTAATTCTATAGAATAAAACAAAATTATTAAACCGAACCATTTTTATGCTTATGTTTTCAATTAATCAATCTGCCAGAATTTGTTTAATTTAAGCAAACAAATTTCAAAACGCATGAAGAGGAAACATGATTACATATACAATAATGTTACTATCAACTGTCATATTGCTTGTCATTGTGAAAACGCCAATTTCAATTAATTCTTATATCATTATCATTTAGAATTATATTATTAAACTCTAATTTTGAAGTGAAATTTCTTACAAAATTTAACGTTGGTCTGAAAAACTTGCAGATATTCAAGTTTTCCTAGTTTAAAAGCAATAATAATTTTTAAAATTTCAAATCAAACATATTTTTGCGTTTATTTTAGAATTTCACTTCATTGCATCTCTTCAAGCTTTATCAGCAAATTAAAATTCGACTGGACAGGTGTGAGTCATTCTGACAGATCAAAACTGGCAAATTTATTTTACTCTCTTTGCTGTAAATAAGTGCAAAGGTCGGAGCTAAAAGTGAGTCAGGAAGCGCGAACGCCTACCTATGTATTCATGGTGATGAGTCATCGGTGGTTTCGAACAATCACGCGCCTAGCTTTTTTTTTGCCATCTTTCCTCCTCAATATTACGCAACCCGCCATAATTTCTCGCTCTCCTTGAAGTCGCAACGAACGGGTTGTTTGACATTCAGATTTTTTTATCTCCTCTCGAAGGTTTCGGCGCTGGGGGAGCGAGCGAAGGACACACACACGTACATAAATCCCGATGTCTATATTTTATTTTTATGGCCGGCTTGATGAGTGCATCGGCGCGGCGAGCTGTTTTCTTAATGGCAATAAAAGTGTTCGAGATAATGTTTTCGGTGTAAATTATTTTACGTCCTTTTTTATATTTTGCTTCGGAAAGCTATTATTCCGCCGTCGCCGCAGCTCGCGGGGGAACCGACCAAAATAAATAAAGCTTCTCACGTCGAAATTTTACTGCCGAGAGAAAGCGATGCATAATTTTTCAGCACCGGACTTTCTAAATCCGGAGAGTGTTCAATTCATTTTTATTTGCTGCACTTGCAGATGTTTCAAAACGAATTCAAAAATAAAAATGTTCAAATATATCCTCAACAGTTGTTGACTTGAACGAAAATGGAATATTTTAAAATCGATATTTACTTGGATTACTAAAATTGTACGAGAAGAAAAAGAGACTTTTAATGTCAAAATTTAAACTTTTAGCAATTATTTTAATTCACAAGAGACAATCACTGCCCTTAAATCAATAATAATTTCAAAGTAATATACAATTTTAGATTGGGAGAAGAAATGAAATTTATTAAATTTAAACATTTTTATATTTTTAAATCATTAAAACATAACAAATTAATAAATTTATATATAATTTGTGTGTTATTGATGGTAATATTGATTATTTATTTCATTTTAAAACAAAATCTGCTTATTCTGATGCATTTTTTTTTGCTTCCTCTTTTGTTCCAGCAGTTTCGCTGCCCAAGTCAGAAACGTCGCCAGCCTCCTTGGACTACATCAGGTGTTCGCAATGCCAGAAGAGCTTCCCAGGGTTCGCGGCGCTCAAGGCGCACATGCAGTCGGCGCACGACGGCGCCACCTCAGGATCTCCGTCCCCGACGCCAGGCCTCGGCTCACCCCTCGACCCGCCCCCGACGCCCGGGGGTGCCTACGCGTGTCAGCAGTGCAACCTGGCGTTCGCGCAGCGCGAACACCTCGACAAGCACGAGCTCATGCATTCGCCCAACGCACAAGTCGTGAGTATCTTTTTCAATTTTTCTTCGATTTATTGTTACTTCGATAATAATTATAATTTAAAAGAAACAAATTTACAATTTATGAGCAATTTAATCCGTTAATTAAAGCTTCAAGAATGAACTGATTGCCTAAATTGAATTACTTGTTTTTGTTTTATTGTGTAAATTATTTACTTTTATGTTATTTTGTTTTTATTTACTGGTTTGTTTATTTGTCGAAATTGTTACAAAACATTGTTTACATTCCACTGTTGGACAAAACAGCGCGCAACACTAGCAAGAATTTTGCTAAAACTTCCAAGATCAAAATGACCCCATCCCTCCGGTGAGCCTCGATTGACACTTGATTTTTGTTCTTATCACTTATTTTGTTGATTAACAATTTACTGATTTAGAAAATTAATTTATCTTAATTATAAACAAAGATTTATAACATCTTTCTCTAGTTAAGACTATTGATTTTTTTAATCTTTTTTCTGAACAAAAATACACAAAAATTATTCTCTTAACAAGATAACAGACCGGAAGAAAGTCAAAATGATAAGTTGCAATCACAGTCAATTTCCTTTGGACCTTTCCAGACCTTTATGCTCTTGAGATTTTGGAAGATTTTTTTTGTATTCAAAACAAAAATAACACACACCTTATCGCTAACCACGCATTGAAGACCGTTTACGCGTACGTGCGCTTTTTCCTCTTCCGGCCCGCGCAGTCCTGTGACTTGTGATTGACGTGCGTTTGCTCTCTGGGCCGTGATATTTCCCTTGTTCCTGAGATAATTCTGTGAGCCATAGGAAGCTGTTATCTTGCACGCACAGGAAAGTGGATAGACGCCCCTGCCCATAATTTCTTTGTCTGGTATAGATTAGGACGTGATTCTTGCATTGAAAATTGATTCCGAGTGCATTGCAATTAATAATTTAATTATGAATAACTAAATAATTTGGTAGAAAAACCCATCGAGCAGTATTAAGATAAATTTTTATTTGAATTAATCTTTCAATTATAAAAAGTGCTCTTTAAATTTTAATCAAATATTTTGATTTCTTGTTTATTGTTTTCTTTTTATGAAAAATTAAAACCGGTCGAGAGAGAAAAATTCAAAAATTAAAAACATCGGCTTTAAAACCTGTGGATTTGCCGTATCCGAACTAAAACTAAGTGGGAGGAATTGATAAAATAATTAAAAATAAAGTGGGGAGAATTTTTTTTAATTTTAATAAACAAAAAATGCAGATATTAATTAAGTAAAGGATTCAGTAAACAGCTTCATACTGTGACTTTGCCAGAAATCTCCAGAGCAATGAACCCAAAGATTCGTCTGGCAAAATCACATTTAATCTTCTGCTAGTTTCTTTTTCAATATTTTTTTTAAAATTATCATTTTTTTTTGTAAGTCACATAATATAAGAAGCATTTTTTTTCTTATTGATAAGAAATTAATATTTATTAATTTTAAATATTTTAAATTAGTCAAGGTGTTTGAGAACTTGTAAGTCGCGCTGACAAAGAGGGACAGGTGATGGGTCTCGTTGGGCCCCGCGGGCGCCACTTCTTCTTCTTCTTCTTCGCGCAGTTGCCATGACGACACACGTCGTTCCCACGGTGCGGGCGGGCTGGGCAGATGTCAAAACGTGACGTCAGCCTGCCGACAAGAGGACCCAATTTCACGGAAAAACGAATTAATTGAGCAGGCAGGCTAACTGGCGCGACGTCTTGCAGTCGGCCCCGAGATATAAAAGTGCGATTAATTAGCTGCGCCGTCGCGCGCGCGATGCGTTTTGTTCTTTTTTAATTAATTTTTTTTCCTCCTGCGCGCGTTGACAAAGACGAATGGCGCGAGAGATGACACTCGCGTTTTCCTCCTCCACGGAATTCCTAATGCGACTTGTTCGAGGAACAGGTGCCTTGATCTCCCTCTCCGCGGGGGTGGATTTTTGTATTATTTTCGTCGCACTTGTCACACCGTTTTCGAGGGAAAAATGAGAGAATATAATATCAAAGGGTTTCCTGCTGGTTTGGGAGAAAAGTGATAAATTGCGCAGTTAACTTATTATTTATTAATTTTAAAAATTATAAATTAATTCAAATTAATTTATTAAATTAACATAAATTATTATTGCTTGAAATTGGAAGTTTGGATTGGTGGAGTTGTCATTTATTTTTTCAAAACCCCAATTCAAGAATCAGAGTCAACAATCAGATTTTCAGATTCTTGGTCCGATTGTTGAATTGGGGTCTTGAAATTTAAAATGGCGTTTTGACCGATGAAGCTTCTAAATGTCCATACAATTGTTGAAAAAAAATTGTTCTACTTTCTATATTATTATTTTTTTAAACCAAATTTCTTGGAAATCATCCTTTTTTTTGCTGATATTTCCTTAATTGATGGTTTACTCAATAATTAAAGAAAAAGCTGAAAAATAAATAGGAAAAAACAAAGGATTTGGATGTAGTGTTTGGGGTTTGGGGTTTGATTTTTGGAAATTCAGATTTAAAAAAAAATAACTTCATTTAAAAAGTAAAATGCATTTTTGTTTAGTAAATTCAATTTCTTTCTCGAGTTAAAACCTAATCTACGCAGCGTAATTAAGAAAAATCTGTCACGGTGCCAAGATCTTCATCTCTAGATTCAAAACACGTGTCGTAGATTTTCAAAAATGAATCCACCAGATATTAAAATCCCGCAGACGTCAGATGTTTCAGATGTTTTGGTGAAAGAAAACAATTCCGGAATGTCCTTCTGCGGCACGAGACGATAAATTTCACTGACACACCAAGATTTCGGTTCGGGGTCGACGAACGACACGCAATAATTAGTGGGGCGTAAAGAATTTTCTAATTAGAACCGCCGCTAGCTCGGACCGAAAATTTCACCACGCATGAAATTCGAAATAATAAACTTCCAAAATATTTTTCCCGTATTTTTTTTTACGACGCGCTCCATAAATTATTTCGTCGTCTCCGCTCCACGTGGAATTCCTGTCTAGAGAGAGAAAAGGACGTGTCGAACGGCAAGTGCGCTGCTTTTTTTATTATTATTATTCCTCCAGGGGGGAATTTAAACAATTTTTTTGTCCGCCTGCTCAGATTGATAACCAAAGAGAGGCGCGCACACATGTGCTGCGCGTTTTGTTGCGCTGTTTTGTTATTGGAACGGACGGTGGGAACTGCGCCGCCGTGTCGTCGTCGGTCGCATCCAGCTGCACTCGGAATTAATTAATCGCCGCGGCTGCATCGATGAGATGAGTCGCCCTTGCATATGAGTTACAAATTAATGAGTTTACACTTCAGAAATAAGGAAAAAATAATACCAATGCACAAACGAAGTGCGGAGGAAATAGAGAAGTAGAAAAATACTGAGACGGTTTGTTCTCCCGAGAGTTTATGGCAGACGAAGCACATAAATCAAGATCAAATTTACTGTCATTCTTAAAAGCGACTGAAAAATATTTAAATATGTAATTTATTTAATCTATATTATTAAAAATAATAATTTTAAATAAAACAAAACATATTTACTAATTTAAATAATTTTGTATGTTATTTACTTTTTTTCAAATTTTATTTATTTATTTATTATTTATTCAACTTACTTTATTTTATTTTATGCTAATTTGAGTGGAAAAAGTTTAAGTTTATTAACTTTTGTTTTTAAATTCTATTTTAAATAATTGTTCAATTTGTGTTTTTAGAAAAGTGAATAGCCTTAAATGGGCATTTTTTTTATAGTTTTAAGGGTAATTGCTGAATTCCGAAAACGAAAACATGCCATTTTGGTTTTCAGATATGTTGTTGGTACCTCTCCCTAAATTTTCAGATGAAAATTTCATGTGCTTTTCCGGGAAATCGGATTTCCGTAAAAAAAAAAAAACAAAAAATGGAATATCTTTGTTTCTAATAAGAAATTTCAAGTACTCTTTTCACTTCTAGACGTAACTTTTTAAGCTGAACAACTTTGCCATTACTTAAATTTCATCGGCTTCATGGTTTTGATTAAATTAAATAATTTATTCTCTGCCTTTAATTTAACCTTTTATATTTTATCGAGTTTAATTTACGTTAATTTAATTTTTTGTTCGCGGCACTTGTGGATGCAGTTGTCAGGGTTCATCAACTTTGGCGTGCACTCAGATTTAATGCTTCCAACTCCCAATCACGGCCTGATTTTAAGTGGGCGGTTCCCACACACGAGAGTTGTATAGTAACTAAAAGCAGCGCCGCGAGTTTCGATCCACAAGTGGCCATCCAACCCTTTGGCGTGTGTTTGTGTAGATGGAAAGAAAGATGAGTGTGTGTTTGGTTCACCTCTCGGCAGCTCTCTCGATTCGTGAGAAAGGAATCCCGAACACATGTTGGCACCGCCGCTGCAGATAAAAAGCCATCCTCCTTGATATCACGTGTGTTTTATTTTCTCTCCTCGGCCGCGATGGCGAGCGTAAAAAAAAAGCAGCGACGCATTTAAATTAGGCCGGCTGCTGCCTTTATCTGCGCTGGCTTATTAAATAGTGTGTAATGGCGTGACATGTGACATGTGAAGAGCATATTCTCATCAGCTAATGGCGTTGCACAATTAAACAGCAGGTCTCACGCTCGCTCCCCCATCCGCCCACCTAAAAGAATAAAAAATTCTTTTTATGTTTCGAAATTTTAATGTTTTTTTTCTCTCGTTTGTTTTTCAGTCTTGCAAGGTGTGCCACAAGCAGTTCGCCAACGTCTACAGGCTGCAGAGGCACATGATTAGCCACGACGAAAGCGCCGTTCTTCGCAAATTCAAATGCCCGGAGTGCGACAAGGCTTTCAAGTTCAAGCACCACCTCAAGGTATGAAATAATTCTTTTAATTTTAGCACACAAAATCCCCTTTTATTTAATATTAAAATCTAAAAAGTAGCTTTAAAACTGTCTGCAAAAACTACGACCGCGTTGGAAATTTTATTGTAAAATGTAGTGTTGAAATATATATATTTTTTTTTACAAAACAAATATGTGCAAAATAAGAATAAATTAAATAAAAAAATTGAATTAGAAAAACGAATTTTGAAAAATTCAATTTTTTTTCTATTTTAAATCATTAATTTTTTTATAAATAGTTTTATAACATGAAATTATTATTTTTTTTTTGTGTAAATGTTTATTTTCAAAAACCGAATTAGAAATGTTTTGATTTAAATTTTGGTTGCTTTAACGTTTATGTACTTTATTGGGAATTTGGTTATTTACAATTAAATAATTTACTAAATTTATAAATTTCATATGGAAATGAAAGGATTTGGCTTTTTCATGATCATATCCTCGAGTGTCAACTACTTCAAACAATTATAAATTTCAATTTTTTTTTTCAAGGATTTGCATATTAGTTTGAATAAATTTGCTTTTGAAGAGATGATCATGGAAGTGATGAGATCGGGCTTTTCCACATCGAAAAATTGTTTTTATTCAAAAACAAAAAGGATCTACAAGTTTCGGTCACGGTCTGCAATCCTATTTCATGAGCAAGAAAAATACAAAAATCAGCAAAATTGAAGAAAAAGCAAATTTCTACATGAAAATTCAAATCTTTAAACTAACTAACAAATTAAAAGAGATTCGAGCTGGAATTATTTGTAAATTTTAATATGTTTTCGTTAAAATGCGTTTTTTATTTTTCAATTTTGTTAATTATTTGGTATTTTTCTTGCTCATGAAATAGAGTCGCAGATCAAGACCGAAACTGATGGTCAATTTTTTAATAACAACAATTTTTATACAATGAGGAAAAGCCCGATCTCTTCACTTCCATGATTTGAATTTAATTTTTAACCAAATTTTTTCCACGGCAACTCGAAATTAAAAATTAATCATCTAGTGCAACGCAAATGGCTTCTCCTCCGTTGTGTCGCAATCCCCGACCGTAATTAATGAATTTCCCAGGAGTTTCGCTGCCTCTCTTTTCTATTTTCCATGCACGCCCTTTTTGTCCTCTCGCCGCGGAATGCCTGATGCACCCTTGAAATTAATCATTAGTTGCAGTCGAGCTTCTTCTTCGCGCGCGCACGTCCGTTATTATAATTATTTATTGCGCGGCTGCACAAAATGAGAACATGCACTCGCACACACGTTATATTATTAAAACACATTGTGCGAGTCGTTGCAATTTCCACACGGGACCGCTCCTGTGTGCACCATTCAAGGGACGAGTCTCTCTCTGTATCTTTTATTCAACGCGTGTCATATCTGCGGGATGCATTTATCTGATGAGAGCAGTGCAGCAGCGATACTGGCCTCCTTTTCCACCCCACGTACCTTGCGCAACCATTCACATTCAAGTACATTTTTCATATTTGCATTAATTGAAAATCTTCTCCGGACATTTCCACTTTTTCAAAAACTTTTTCTATTATTTATTAAGAACGCATTCAAAGCATTTTTTCAATTACGTCCCCTTCGCAACGGCAGACGCAACCTGCCAAACAAGGTCGTCCCACCGGTTGCATAAGCCCCAACCTGATTAGGTGTAGTCTCAAGGTTGTTGTTGATTGATTTGCACTCACACGAGACGCCTCTGCTTTTTTCCAATTAGGAGCACATCCGGATCCACAGCGGCGAGAAGCCCTTCGAGTGCCAGAACTGCGGCAAGCGGTTTTCCCACTCCGGCTCCTACTCCAGCCACATGACCTCCAAGAAATGCCTCGTCGTCAACCTCAAGGTACAGAAAAAATCTAACTGAAAGTTAATTTTTATTTTTACTTATTTTAATTATTTCAATTTTAGTTAATAATAGACAATAAGAATTGTGCCTAAGTATTATTTTTTATTTTATTATTCTTATTTCAACATTTTTATTACTTATTTATTTAATTTAATTAATATTTATTTTATTATTATTTTCTATATTTTATTATTATTATTATAATGATTATATTTGACGCAATGATTTATTATTTTTACTAAATTAATTATTTAAACCATCATTCTAGGTTGGTCGAGGTGCTCGCGGTGCAAATCCTGCAGAGAAAGCGTCGCAGCAGCAGTCGTCGAGGGGCAGCCCCAGTGCCCCTTCACCGAATCTGGGCCCCAAGCGGCGTCCGTCGCCTCCGGTTGCCCCATCCCTCGGCCAGGCACCTTTCCCCTCACTGCTGACCCCAGGTCTGACTCAGTGTCCGACACCCCCGAGCGCAGGAGTCCCGAACGCCTTCCAGGCGTATCTGCAGCTGCTGCACAGCGGCGCCTTCAACCCGGCGGCCTTTTCGCCCACGTTCCCCGGTCAGCTCGACCGCATATTCCAGAACCTGAGGCAGCAGCAACCTGCCGAGGGCGCCGACAGCGTGCCCAGCTACTTCTCAGGACTGCCGGCCCTGACCCACCCTGACCTCAGGAACAACAACCAAACCAAGGAGGAGGAAAATGAGGACAAGGACAGACACTGCGCAAGCCCTTCTGTCACCATTTCAGGTAATTTCCTTAATTTTATAAAAATAAAGAAAAAATTCTAAATTATTTTAATTTTTACAGAAATGAAAGAGGAGGTTAAAGTGGAAAATGACAACGATCAGGCGGAGGAAAATCACGAGGTGGACATGGACGACGTCCCTGAGAGAAGGGATTACGCCTCGGAAGAAAAGGACGAGGACTTTGAGGAGGAGTCGCACCCGGACCCTGTGAAAAGCCTGGTGCAAATCGTCGGGTCTTCGGTGACCAAAGAGCGGTTGGAGGCCCGAATGCAAAGCCTCACGCCTCCCCCCATCGTCGAGCATGCCGAGGACCGCGAGGAAGGCCTGGCCGCAAAGTTGGAGGCCAGCATGGCCTTCAAGAGCGAGTCCGGCTGCAGCGACGACAACGAGGACTCTGCGAGGGCTACGGACGACGAGGGAAATGCCAAGAGGAAGGTCAGGGTGCGGTCGCAGATTGGCGAGGAGCAGTTGACGGTCCTCAAGGCCTACTACCACAAGAACCCCAAGCCCAAGAAGGAGGAATTGACGGCCATTGCTGAGCAACTCGGCTTCACCGAAAGGGTTGTGCAGGTAAGAAAATTGAAACTTTGTAATTAAAATTTAAATTTAAAATTAAAAAAAAGTTGTCGTTTTGAGCGACATGATTATAAACTTTTCATTTTACTTTCAGGTTTGGTTCCAGAATACCCGTGCCCGCGACCGTCGCGAAGGTCGTCTCCTGGGTCCGTATCCGACCTTTGGCGAGTACCCGCACCTCAACGGCACCCTGGTGGCCCTGAACAACAACAAGACCCTTCCGCCGCCTGATTTCAACCTGCCGCTGGACCTGTCGACCAAGAAACATCCGGTGCAGCCGCACTTTCCCAGCGCGGCGTCCTCGCACTGCAGCTCGCCGCGCGGTGGTCTTTCCGACTCGGACGACAACGGCGCCATCAACCTGAGCAGGAAGTCCTCGCCGACGCCATTCCGACCGTACGCGCTCGACCACCAGCTGTCGCACCACAGCACGGTGGTGCCCTCGCTTATTTTCCGCAACGCCGCCAGAGACCACAGTCCGGCGCCAGCTTCCTCGCCCAACAGTTCCGACCTGGTCAGCTTCAGCGGAAACAGACTCAAGTCCATTCTGAGCCAACCGTCGCCTGGGAACTTCTTCGGCAATGAATTGCTGGCCGCAGCCATGAATGGACACGGCAGTCCTACAAAGAGACAGTGGAAGCCGGTGAGGCAATATTTTGTTTTCGGTGATTTGAATTTAAAATCAGCTTTTCCTCGATGGGTTTTCTATTGACAAGAATAAGTGCGAAAATTAATCTTAAAAAAAAAAAAATCTTTTAAATTAACATTTTTTGTGTGAATAATTCTCTGAAGCTACATTTTTTTAATTCAAGTGTCAAATTTGTGTTAAATTGTTTTGTGTACAATTGTAACTTTCAAACCTAATTAATCTGAAAGAATGATATTTTTTTCTAAAGATTTGTCGAAAAAAATGATTGCACAGCTGCAGCCCAAAGCCAAAACATTGAGCAGGATATTTTTTTTTCTTAAATAATTTAATCAACTCACAAAACCCATCAAGGAAAATCCAATTTTAAATTAAAACAAACGTGAAATTCTACCCCAAAAGAAAGGAAATATTTTTTTATTACTCCGACCTTTCATCGAATGAAATTTTAGATTAAACTAACAAAATTGTTTATTCGCTTTCAGTCCTTCCTCGAGTACGGCGAGACAGCAGATGAAGATTCTCTTAGCATGGGAGAAGACCCAACTCGAAAGAAGCGTCGCACCCCCAACATCCCTTCACCGATCGGTCCGACGATGGTCCAGTCGGGCAATTCAACTCCGCTGAAGTTGAGCCAAAGTGGACAGGAAGAGGAAGGCCAGTACGGCTGCGACCAGTGCGACAAGTCCTTCTCCAAGCAAAGCTCTCTCGCCAGACACAAATACGAGCATTCTGGTAATTTGTTCTTTAAATTAGAATTTAAATTGTATGAATTGATAGCTTTTAAAATAAGTCATTTAATTTGAATTCTTAGGACAATTTTTCACAGATAAAGAACTCAATCATGTCATAGAACTGATATTTTTATAGAATTTCTCTTATTTCTTAAATAAATTCACCTTTATCTTCAATCATTATTGCTACTTTTACTGGAAGCGAGTGAATTATTTTGGCAATGAATTGGATTTTGGTCAAGAATATCCAACAATAAATGAGCATTAATCTTAGAGGTCATTGTTTTTCACTTTTGCTAAATTTTCAAAATTTATCTGGATGCCAGACATTCCAATATAATCAGAATAAAATCTTTCATCAGCACTTTTTTCTTCTTCTAACAACAATTTTTTTTTCCCGCAGGTCAAAGACCGCACAAATGCGACGTGTGCAGCAAGGCGTTCAAGCACAAGCACCACCTGACGGAGCACAAGCGGCTGCACAGCGGCGAGAAGCCGTTCCAATGTTCCAAGTGCCTCAAACGCTTTTCCCACTCGGGTTCCTACAGCCAGCACATGAACCACCGCTACTCGTACTGCAAGCCGTACCGAGACTAGACCGCGGACTCGCCTCACCCTCTCCTCACCGTGTAAATACATGATTTAAAGGACAGGAAATTTTTCATTCGTGGAAACGACGTTTTGAGCTTAAGAGATGTTTAAACAATCTTTTTGCATCATTCCTCTTATCCATCCATGTCTAACGAGAAAGGAAAAACACACACAGCTATAAGTAAATGTTGAACAGAAAAAAAGTTGCTATTAATTGTATAAACTGCGCGCGCCAAATTTTAGCAGCCGCTTCTTCCTATCTCTTCACTCGTTATTATGGAAAACCGTAGCATAATTTATAGTAGTGGAGCGTGTAGTCCGCGTTTAGAGCGATTTTCTCCTCTCTATAGTTCATCCCGCACTCGGTGTCTCTCTCTCTCTAGTGTTATTTAATATAAGAAATTGCAAAATCGTTTTTCTACTCGTCGTCGGTTTGCCAACGAAACTCGAAATCAATATATGTACAAAGACACACGTTTTTAAACAGATTTATTTAACCATTCATAAAACCAAAGCTTGTCAGCCAAACAATAATTATATAATTCATAGAGACAAATTAGTCAAGTTTTTAATTATTGAGAGCTCTAGTCGGTTTCGTTAAAACTGATGTTTGTGCCAAATCCGTACACAAATTTGAATCGGTTGTCTTCCGCCTACAGCAAACAGGAGAGAAATCGTTGCCATAATTTTTAGTCATGACATTTGAAAATCTAATCATTTTTAATTATATATGTAAGTGGAATTATATAAAAAGCAGGATCCTCGGGAGTAAAAATTTCAACACACACACTTGTTATGTACAGCGTCTCACACACACACACACAAGCACTCTCAGCATTATAATCCAAAATTGTTACAAATTCAAAATTATATTAAAAGAAGGATTGCCAAAAGTGACGAGAAACCTATACAAGTATATATTTTTAAAATTGAATATTTTATACTGTACGGTTAGCATGTTCGGAGAAGAGCGGAAAAGTGCTTCCAGCTGATTAAAATATTAGACGAGGTGGACAAAAATTTCAAAAAAAAAGTAACAGCAGGAAGGCTTGCGATTCGGAAACAGACGAAAACTGCGCAGCTCTGTGTTCTTGAAGACAATATATTTAAAAAGAGAATTTTACAGGCACAAAATTTGTGTATAAAAAAAAATAAACGACTGTTCTCACAACCAAACACAAAAATGGACAAATTGAGAGTAAAACGAATATGCACACTCAAGTACATTCCACTCTGTATAAATTTAAAAACTGGGCGCGACAATAAAAAGAGAAATTTAACAGGATTTTAGTTACGAGATATATGAGAAGAGTTTATTTGCGGGAAGCGCGCGGATCGAAGCAAATCCGCCGCCTCCAGTTGAGACGCAAAATAGAGATTTGTATGGAGATTAGCTTAACAAGTAACAATTTATTACGAATAAAATGTATTTATAATTAAGTGTGGGTACGCATGCGGATAAGAAACACACACGCGATGAATCACAAGGCGAGTGATATTAAATTAAAACACATTACATAGATTTGTATAGGCTTAATCGAGACGAGACCAAAATCGCTGGGTCCTTTCGTTGAAAACTAAATTAACCGTCGTGTAAATAATGAGCGTGGAAGTAAAAGAATTAAATAGTCACGTGGCAGGCGGAAATTACCTCTCTTTTGATAAATAAAAATTACGTAATCTTATAATTCTAGGGAATCTCCACGCCAAAAGTCTATATTAGATGATACGCGAGCAAAAATAATGTTTTAAAAAGAAAAAAAAATTAACAACCTGAAATATTTAATTGCTTTCGTTCGTTTTTGGGTGCGATGCAATTGATTTCGTGCTATTTACCTTTACTTGTATGTGTATTTTATTTTTGCTAATTAATGATAATTGTTGATAATTATATATATTTTTGTATGCGATTGTTTAAAATACACATCTATGCATAAATTAATTATAACTGTACACACGTGACATGAAGGTGCAATCAAAGACAACGAGCGACGTTTTTCTCGTTTTGGTTACCGATATTTTATTGATTTTATAAATAGAGAATAATTTTAATGAATCCTACGTAATGTTCGTGCAATTCCGCGCGTTCGCATAAAAAGGGCTAGAACAACCAAAGATTGTGTGCTGAAAATATGTTCGTCGATAATCGTTTACGAAATATTTTGAATTGGTTTTGATTGGAATTGGTTTGATTGAATATGTCACGCGCTCTCTTTCATTCTCTCTGTGTAATGTTTACTTTTTGATATTTTTTGTGCTCTCTGCAAATATATATAAAAAAAATTGTAGAAAGAAACTCAGAACGGTCGCAAATCCTTTTTTGAACAGATAAATTCTTTATATTGTATCCAACGCGACGGGAGATTAAAAATTTTATTATATTTGGAAAAATATATTACAAGATAATTCTATATTATGAATTAATTATATAAATATATGAGACGAGGTATGGAGAACAAAGTGTTGTATAGCTTAAGGTGTTGAGAATTTTTATACAACCTCTACTGCGCGTAAATATAAATATAGTGTACTTGAGACATACTCTACACTCAAACATGACCATAATACTGTAAACTGGAAATATATAATTCAATATGGGTTTGAGACAAAATGAACAAATGTGTATAACAAATATTACAATTAATATAATATGACGAAAGGGAAAAATGTATGTATGCACTCATTAATATGCAAGAAAAAGTGAAAATAAAAACCCTGTATGATTCTACTTTTAATTCATTGACAAATAAAAAATAAACAAAAAATAATATAATTTGCATTTACTTTCAACTGAATAAAACCCTGTTTGAATATAAAATAATATTACAACGACTTATGCATGTGACGAGTATTAATTTCTTTAAAAAATCGTCACCCTAGCCTGGAAAACCAGAATTTACGACAGCTGCTTATAAGATAGTTAATACGCAAAGTTAACAATGGGAATTTTCAAAACATAACTTTTGAAATGAAAATAACCGTGGTAGATACTTTTAAAAATTTATACAAAGATATGGAATTTAGTTTTATCTAATTTGTTCTAAATGAAATTTTCTTGAAAATGGAAATATGTAATCAGGATTAATAAATTTTTTTATAAAATAAATCCTCAAAATGAATTTAAATTAAAAAATATTTAAAAAAAAAACAATTTATAAATAATTTACAAAATAAAAATATTTATATCGCATCTAGCTAAAAAAAAAATTAAAATAATAAATGTTAAAATTCTAAATACATATAAATAAATGCTAATAAATAAATTGATTTCTAATTTAATTTAATTGTAACAAATACTGACATTTTTTTCTTTATTTATTTGAACATTTTCCTGTAAAATTTAAATTAAATTTCTGTTAAAATAGTTTCAGAAATTTGTTTATTGGGTTCAAACTATTATCATTAAATTATTTTAAAAATGAAAATTTATTTCTTTAAAGCTTTTACAGTTCTCAGTTCATTTTTTTAAAATCAAAATAATTTTGAAAGGTCTATCAAAATTTTTATTAATTTCAGGGATTGGTTACTACTGCTAAAACAGTTGTGTGTAGAAAATAAACGTGGCGAAAATTATGGCGACAAGAAATCAAGGGGCTTATTATAATTAAAAAGCTACACCTTTTTTAAGCCATATTTTTAAATCATGTAAAATACGCAAAAAATCTGCAACAATGAAACAAATTTAACGATCATAAGCCCCGCCTCCTTAAATGAAAGAATTTCAGAATTTGTATAAACAATTCAAGTTTAAAGCGATTGTTGGGTAACCGAATTTCTATCGTTTCGAAATCTTCCATGGCACAGTTTGAAAATTCGCATCCCAGATTTTCTTTTCCTGCCACCAAAATGCCTCGCCCGTTTGGAAAACACGTCCGAGCCCTCTCGGAGCACCAGTTTCCCCGCCTGGAAGACTACGTTTGGAAAGAAGACGCCGTGACCGGGTCCAAAATAATTGAATTGTGGATTCGCGACTCAGCTGAATATATTGAATTAATTAGTTATCCCAATTTGATTTAAAGACAATTCTCTATTATTTCTGGAAATTTTTGGCAATAATTAATAATTAAATACAATGTTGTTCTTTTTTTAAAGAATGCATTTTTTTAGCAATTTATCTTTTGCACAAAAGTTCACGTATATTTTTATTTTTCTATTTTATTCGAAAACAGTCAATTTGGATCTTTTTCTCTGGCGCTCTTTTTTATAAACGGTCAGTTCCTAATTTCGCCGCTCAGCGCATTGGCGCATCGAATTAAATTTTTTGTCTGGAAAAAACATGGCTGTAGATTGAGTGAGCGGAATTTGTTCGCCCGACAGCATTTCCTTTGCCAGATAAAATGAACGCTTTCTAAGACGGAGATAAGATTCAGAGATCATTCACGAGAAACCGGAGCGACGAAATCCAGCGAGATGTCGTCGATCCACCTGGTGGTGCACCCGCTGCCGGGCACCGAGGACCAACTCAACGAAAGGTTCGTTCGCCCCCTTGCCCAGCAATCCACCAGCGAATGTTCCCGAAAATCGCGTCTCCGGCCGGAAACGAGTCGCCTTTCCGTCCGGGAACGTCCTTTCGGCGGCCGAAGCGCGGTCGACGGCCGTCCGAAGGGCGCTTCCGGTCGCGCCGGGGGTCTCCTCGTGATTCGACCGACACTCTCGCGTCAACTCGCCATCTTTTCGCCATGGAGTCACGCTGTCGGTTTTTTGCAGGCTGAAGGACGTGTCCGAGAAGATGAACCGCTTCGGACAAGCGACGCCCGGCGCCTTGGGCAGCGTCAAAGTGGGCGTCCGCAGCTGCGTCGTCGGACCCTCGCACGTCGCCCTTCTGCTCGAGGACGGCCGGGTCTGCAGGATCGCCTTTTCCATCATCACTGACCGGCTCGACCTGAGCCGCAACGATCCCGGAAAAACGTAAATTTTTTAAAGATTTTATACAAGTAAATTGTTATTTTAATTCTTTGCTTTAGCAATAAATCAAGCTCAAGCAGCAGTGCCAGCAGGCAATTGACGCGGACGAGGTCGCGCATCATGCGGACGACGGCGCTGAGAGGCACAGGGAGGGGCACCGGTGGGGTCATCATGGCCAGCACCGGCAGCCGTTCTGTTGTGCCCTCGACCTACGTGCCCGAGGAGCTCGTTTCGCAGGCCCAGGTTGTTCTTCAGGGCAAAAGCAGAAATCTCATCATTCGAGAATTGCAGGTAAAAAAAAATTAAATAAAATTGAGGCATTTTGTCCGAAATTTCGGCTAAGTTGTCCGGTGTTTTCTGCGGTTTACATCAGAAATTCACGGTCATAGTTCAGATTCATAGGCAGCAGCCGCTCGCTCACCTTATTCAACCTCAAAAATCAAACCCATGAGATATAAAAAAATGAAAAAAATTCTATTGAAAATTTGAAGCAGCCAATTATTTCAGAGGATTGGCTAATAACTCTATTTATTTGATCTTAAAATCAAATACTTTTTCCTTACATAATCTTTTAGATAAGAAATAGATGGGCCATGTGAGCACCATCTTACTATTTGTTACAAATGCTGATGCAATCGAGGGGTGTTCTTAATCAACACATCAGCAAAAACACTTCAAATCAAAGAAAACTTGAAAAACGGAAGTAAATAATTGATACATTTTTATTTGAAAGATCAATCATATAAATTTAATTATTATGGAAATGAAGCGATTGTTGGAAAAAAAATTTTTTTGTTTCAAAAACAAAACGGCTGCGACCCTAGTTCATGAAAAAGTAAAATACAAAAAATCAGCAAAATTAAAAAGAAAACGCAATGTTTTTACATAAAAATCAAAAGCTTGAATACAATTTTTTCAATAAAGTTAAGTTCAATCTCTCCATTTCCATGATCATCTCCTCAATTGTCAATTTCTTGAAGCAAATTTAATTATTAATTCAAATTTATCTTCGTGTAAATTGCTTGAAATTTATGTGGAAACATCAGCACATTTTGGTTGAAATAGATAGAAATAATAAAATGTAAAAGACTTTTTAAACTGTTTAACCATTAAAATTATAACAATGTTCCTTTATTGTCTGTGCAGAGAACAAATCTCGACGTGAATCTGGCGGTGAACAATTTGCTGTCGCGCGATGATGACGAAGGTGAAGACGGCGAAGATGGGCAGGACTCGTACGTGCCCGAAGATCTGATCTCTTTGCTGGACGGTGGCATCCACGGAGACCACTCGAGCGTCATCATTGACGCTGACTCGATGTTCTCCGAGGACATGTTCAACTACTCAACGATGCGTGCGCGCAGTGGCGCGCCCGTTGGTCTCGGCGGTGGCCAGTCTGGCCGGCGACCCTTAGGTGAGCGTTCTGGCGGTACCGAGCGTGGTGACGCGTCCGACCGTGATCGCGACAGTTTCTCCCGCTGGAGGGACAGACAGTATTTTGGGCCCGGCCGTCGGTGGCTTGAGTCTGCCCTTCGAGACTCGGGCTGGGCCGACAAGGACACGAGTGAGTCCGGTCATGGTCTCTCTGCACGTTTGTTTGGCTTGCTTGCTATGCCAGGGACCCTCGGTTTTCCATTCAGAATTTACTATCTAATGTTATAAAATTTCATTTCACCCTTAAAATTGTAGCTTAATCAATCCTGTTTCGTTTTAATTTTACATATTTATTAATTTGCTTAACACTGCCTTTAAACCCTTGCGTAAAAATGTGCACGGTTTGTTCTCATTGCTTTTTTGCTTCTAATATGAAAATAATTTCACATTCGAAGTAATTTTCATTATTATATTATGTTTTTCTTCAACTCATCAAGTAAATTAATTTTCAGCTGAAGTGAAAAAGAAAGAGTGTGTGACCCAAAGTCCACTCTGGGTGTCTGATGAGGTTGACTACTGGCCCACTCGCGGTGGCGAAATGCCTCACCGCTTCTCCATGATTGCTGCCTTGCACAGCGAGCTTGTCGCCGTCAACCAATTCACTGGGCAGCTGCACCAGTGGCGTTGGGCTGACGCAGAGCCTTATAGATGTGTTGAGGTAATTTCAAGCTTGCAATTCACGAGAATCCATTTTTTATTTTTATTAATTTTTTAATTTTTTATTTAGAACGGAAAAGATGTTTTTCACCCCAAAGCAACCAGCTTGGCTCTGAATAGCGAGGTCATCACTCAAATGTCTGCATGCTCAACAAGGTGTACTGTGGTCACCGAATCTGGTAGAATCGCCAGCTGGATGGACGAGGCGCTCGGACACAGCGTGGCCTTGAGGCTTGAGCACGCCGCCACCAATTTCCCTGGAGAGCTGCCAGCCGACTACAAGGTCAACTCGATCTATGTGTGCTCGCTGTGCACAGTTGCCAGACTTGACACTGGCGCCTTTTACTGGTGGTAAGAAAGAACCGATCGATCTTTTCAGTTTACCGAAAGTGAAAATTCTGTTATGTTTTAGGGGAGTGTTGCCTTTCCACCAGAGGAAGAAGTTGTGGGACAGGCACAGAGCCAAAAGCAAGAAGAGCAAGTCATCTAGTTCCTCATCCCATTCCACAGACATCATTCTCGGCAGCCAGGTCTGCATGAAGAGCTGCCCCATGTACCAAGCTGGAGCCATAGGTAATTATCATTTTAATTATAATCAACTTCTATTTGCAAGAAAATGGTTTAAATAAATAAGGAGAATTTTTTTCTAATTTATTCGACCAAATCAGTTTTGATTCTCAGTTTCTCAATTAAAAAGGTCCAAAAGTTGCAAAACTTTATATCGATAATAAATATAAATGTAGGGAACCTTTTTTTTTTTTTTATTAATTTTTACCTTTATTTTTCAAACATTTCTTATAATATATAATTGTAGGCTTCACTGTGATTGGCGGTGTGCCCAAAGTTGGCCAGCTTTTGCATTCTGCGTGGAACTTCAACGAGGTGTGTCGCTTCAAGCTGCTGCCCCAGAGTCCGCCTCCACAGCCACCACCCTCCAGCTCGTTGTCCTCGGCTCTGGCCGGGGTAATTCCCTCTGGCAGCGGCAGTGGTAAGACGAGTGAGTCCATGGCTTCTCAATTACTAGCCATGGTTAACGCAGCCTCGGCTAATAATGGCCCTGCCCCTGCTGGCTCCCCATCGCCAACCTCGAGCACTGCCTCGGTAGCCAACTCGCTGCTGCTCCTTGGCACCAAGAACAGTAAGGAGACTGCGGACCGACTTGACATGCCCCCTCCACCATCGCCTGCGTCGTCAACTTGTTCAGACACTGGCAGCATTGCCAGCAACTCTCACAGTACGTTTTTTGATATCATTTGCAAATAGTTGAAAACTAATATTTATTTTCTTTACAAAACACAGAGAGACACAAGAAAATGGCACCCAAAGGTGAGGATAGTGAAAAGAAGGACGAAGAGGAGTGGCCTCTCAAGGATGTGATATTTGTTGAGGATGTGAAGACCGTACCAGTTGGAAAAGTTTTGAAAGTTGATGGTGATTTTGCTGCTGTCAAGTTCCCCACAACTAGGGACAAAGAGATCATGAAAGAGTCTGGCACCGGCTCTGAAGACGCAGGCCTGCTTCTGCAAGATTGCCGATTGCTAAGAATCGAAGAGTTGCAGGTATAAATCATCATTGTCATTATTTGCAACACAATTTTAACTTTGATGGGATACATTCTAGGTCATGAAACCAGGTGCAACCTCTAGGTCGCCGGACTGTTTCCAGAAAACTCCTCGAAAGATAAACATTCCTGACAGTAGTCAGATCTTAGCCGTAGCTATTGACAACCAATGTATGTTAATGCTTAATGCTGAATTAAATAATTTAATTTCATTCTTGTACACAGGCATCCACGGAATTGTTCGTATTGGCAACAAGTTCAGTTACTCGATGTTCAACCTGAGCTCTGGCAGAGTTGAGCAGGAACATCTGTTCCCATCAGACTTGACTGCCTTTTTAGGTCAAGACCCATCAAACATCAGTCTGACTTGCACTGGTGAAGGCGACAGCGTCCTTGTGCTTCGGGACGGCAACCGCACGATCTATCCCTTGGCAAGAGACTCTCTTGATGCCATAAGGGATCCACATTGGCTTGACTTGCCTCCCATCAAATGTTTGGCTGCTGGTCTGCATCCTCTAGCAGGAAGCGGCCCTGCAAGTGCTAGTGGAACTTCAGGCGGATCCTCTAAGACGCAAGTTGCAGTCATGGTGCTAGTTATGGAAAATCAGGTTAGTGTATTTAATACTAAACTTTTGATTTTTTAAATCCATAACAAACAAATTTTTGTCTATTTCCTGCAGATCTTGATGTCTCGTGTGCTGCGCTGCGACATTGAAGGTGTCACTTTGGCACTCGACTCTTTGGACCTGGAGTCCAAGTCGTCCTCGAGCACAAGCCAGGCATCAGCTGCCTTGATAGTTCATGAGCGCTGCGATGGCAACCGCAACATTTTGCAAGCCTGCGTGGCCATGTGTGCACCCACATCAAACAAGGATGACACAACCAGTGAGGGTGGTGCCTCTCTAGAGCCAATAAATGTCATAACCAATGCACTGACCTCAAGCAAGTCGGTCAGCCTCCGTGACATGATGCGCAGAGCCACCCGTTCTGCCACTCTGGGCGAGTACCTTCAAGATCCATCTGGGTCTTCCGGCGCCAACGAAGATCCCATTCCGACGCTCAGTTGGCCGCCAGAAAACTTCGAGACCAACAGCGGTGATGAGGACAGTCTGATTGGCTCGCTGAACTCACAAGCTAACAAGTCTGGACTGGCTGGAACTTCGTCAGGTAGGAATCACAGTCAATTTGGCAATTAAAAATTTGGATATTTAAGACACATACTTAATTTATGATAAGCTTAGTTAACTTTTCTTAAATAATTTATTGATTATAACACATTTTGTAAGTAGTAACTGAGAAAAATTGAAATAATTACAGTTTATTAATTAATGGACATCGACATAAAAAAATTACTTATTATTTTATTTTCCTAGGTTCATCAGGATCAAACTACATTGTGGATCCAACAGAGCGCCGCAACAATGCTCACGCCATCCTGAAATTGCTCTGTGAACATGCAGCCTTGACCCCTCACCTCAAATCATTGCTGACATCTAAGGACGCTCAAGGCCACACCCCATTCATGCTGGCTGTGTCTCAGCGGGCCTATCAAGCGGCCTTGACAATTTTGGATGCCGTTCAACGAGTGTCGAGAGATGAACAGGAGATGCTCAGCATGGTCTACCCGTCTGGTTCGGCGCCTGACGACAATCCTCTTCATGTGCTGTGCTGCAACGATACTTGCAGCTTCACATGGACGGGCGCTGAGCACATAAACCAGGACATCTTCGAGTGCCGCACGTGTGGCCTGACTGGCTCTCTGTGCTGCTGTACGGAGTGTGCAAGGGTGTGCCACAAGGGCCACGACTGCAAGTTGAAGCGAACCTCGCCCACAGCCTATTGCGACTGCTGGGAAAAGTGCAAGTGCAAAACCCTGATTGCCGGACACGCCCCTTCAAGAAACGAACTTCTCAATCGTCTTGTGTCCGAGTGCAGCGGTCTGGTCAGTATGCCGAATGGCCGCGGTGAATCCATCCTTCTCTTTTTGGCACAGACCGTTGGCAGGCAGCTGGTTGAGCAGCGCCAGTACAACCGCAACGCTCGCTCTCGAACCACTTCGTCAAGAAAAACGCCTTCTTCGGATGTTGAGCCGGACATGCCCGACCACGATTTGGAGCCTCCAAGGTTCAGTCGTCGGGCATTGGAACGGTTGCTTGGAGATTGGTCAGCTGTACGCAGTATGATCATGTCGGGTGTAGCGAGTGGATCTGGAAGCAACTCTGACCCTAATGAAGACCAGACATACCTGGCCAGCCAGACAGGCACCACACTACTTGACAAGTTCACACACTGCCTCATTGTGAAATGCTGCAATGAGATGCTTGACTTTTTGCTCTCGACGCTTATAAGAGAACTCAACGGCGAACAGATGTCAGGTTAGTTGTATTTTCAATTTATAGCCTACATTTTATTTTTATCTAAATCTTCCCGATTTATAACTTTTTCTCATTTTACAGCCAAGAACAACCAAGCCACAGAAGTGGCTCGTCGCTTCGTGCGCTCAGTCGCACGCATCTTCGTGGTCTTCAGCATCGAGATGGTGCCCTCAGGCGGCAAGAAGCGCGTCAACACAACAATGTCACAGCCGCTGGCTAAGTGCAAGCGCGTTTTCAAGTGTCTGCTTCGCGTGTCTGTCGAGGAATTGTGTGAGACTGCTGACGCCCTGATTGCTCCAGTCCGCCTTGGTGTCGCTAAACCAACGGCCCCTTTCCATCTGGCCACTAACCACAACGACGTCATTCAGGGCGGTGAAGAGCTATTCTCAGTTGAACCCATGATGCCACATTCATCGCTCGGACTGTCAACTTCAAGTCGCAGTCTAGCCATTGCCGGATCAGCTCCGGCAGCTGATGTTGTTGCATTGATGTCTGAAGAATTGTCTGGCGAGATTTCCGCAGACGGGGTTGCTGGTGCAGCTGAAGATGCTGGGGGCATGCAGTCTGGACAAAGGGAACTTTCACCAGTCATAGTCACCAGGAGACTAGTCGCCAGAAATCAAGACATGTTTGAAGGTAATTGGAATTCAATTATAATTTTCAAGTAAATTAATAATAATTTTTTACTTAACAGACAACGAAGGAAGTGAGCAAGGAGATTCATCTGAACGAGCTGTTGCTGGTGATGCTGAAGCTAGCGGTGCCGACGAGGTGGGAGGTGGTGAAGGTGAAAGTGACGCAGAGCTTGATCTCTTGGCTGAGACCGAGTCGGACTCTGACGACAACCAAAGTCAGCACGAGCACCAGAGTTCGGGAGCGCAGGCCTCTCGTGGTGGTGGAGGCGGCCAAGGCGGCGGAAATTCTGTCGGAGGAGCTGGTTCGTATAAAAATGAAAACGCCAGTCGGTGTAATGCACAGATCAATAACGCAGGATCTCTGATTATGTTCAATGAAGAGGACTCGGGTGACTCTAGCCAGCAGGACGATGATGACTCGGACGCTGACACGGAACCGCTGGATGCTGATGAACTGCAGCTTGGTGACGAACAGCTCGAGAGAAGAGGAGGGTATGATATATATTAAAACTTCTGGAAGATTTTGTTTATAATTTTTTCAAAGCAGGACGAGCGGCACCCACGGCCAGCGGAGCAATTTGGCACCGCAATCAATGCAGTGGGCCATCAGGTCGCGCGAATCGGCGCCCAGGTCTGCCGGAACTCGCGTAGGTAATGCCACAACCCTCCATAGTAGCTCTACCCGTTCCGGCGCCCGAGTAGGTAATATGATGCGTTCCAAAGCCCTCGCCTCCCGCAAACCACCCACACTCATCTGGTGGCGTCTATCACGTTGACTCAAATTTAGATGTTCTAGTGTCTGAACGAATCGGATGTGGGATGAGTGAATGAAGCAGTATTTTGTTACATTGAGCTAACCAACCTCTTGCATGCCTTAGTGGTTGAAAATAATGCAAAATTTTATTAAACGATACTAAATTAATTCAAAAAAACTTGCATGCCTGGAGATTAATAATCAATTTAGTGATTTAAATTCCTCAAAACTCAAAAGTTGCCAGGTTTGTCCATGCTTCTGAAAATTGAGCGATGCAAATTAAATTTAAAATATGGCATCATTTATCTATATTTGGGTTTTTTATTTCATCAGTATTATTTGTTTTATTTCTGATATAAGACTTGTTAAAGATAAAAAAGTAATTCTTATTTTGAGAGAGGAGAAGTGAATATAAAAAATGCAGTAGTGAATAATTATGACTGAATTGCAGTTTGTTTTTGTCCCTTGAATCATATTTGTAGTCAGTAATCACTTGTGAGATACTTCCTGTATATAGCTTCTTCGACGTTTCCTCTCGACTCTAAACCCCATTCCCCAGATTTCCACGTCTTGAAACTATAAATTGTGCTCACGTCCTTTTCTCTAAACCCTTAGGTGGAAGTTTAGTGTTTATCGATCCTGGTTCTCTGCGTCGCTCTGCCACTGCTGGAGCGGCTGTTGCTGCAGCAGCTGCTGCCAGCGTCAGCCAGGAGCCTCTCACAATGAGCACAACTGCTAGTTGCCTGGCCAGAGCTTTCGGAATTGTCGTTCGCCAGGTTTCTGACCTGGTAGCAATGATCCCTGACTACCGCAATCATGCACCTCAGTTGCCCAGGATTCTTGACGTCTCTCCTCAGGACTTCACTGCTGTTCAGGTACACAAACAGTTCGACAATAATTGATTTTTCAAAATTTTCATTTTGAATATTTATTTTTAGAATTACTTGGAGTTCCAATTGAAACCAACGTGGGACTGGCTTCTGACAGTTATGGATGCTACAGAGGCACAGCTGCGATTTGGCGCCTCACTCACAAGCACAAGTGACCCAGCACACCCTTCACATCCCCTTCATGCTCCAATCGGAGGCGCTGCCACCACCAGCAGACCAACTGTGTCGCTCAGTGGCACTAGGCCGAGGGTTGTTTTCTCTGATGGTCGCAGGGACAGAGAAGGTAAGCAATAGGGTTCAATTTTAAATCAAGTGAATTTTGCTACTATTTGTATTTTTTTACGAAGTAGGATTTTTAATATTCAAATTTTTTGTCTCATTATTTAGCATCGGACCCGAATGCAGCTAGACGAGAGTTCCTCACTTACTGTCTTTCCCTCATGCGGGCGCACAACAACGAGCACAGAGATAGTCTTCCTGTCCTTGATGTATCTGCTCTCAAGCATGTTGCCTACGTCTTTGACACGCTCATTTACTTCATGCGCGCCAGCACTGGAGATATTACGCATCAAATTAGTAGTGGACAGGGTGTCTCCTCAGCGAATGCTGCAGAGTCCAGGGATAGCAGCTTCATTGCTGACGCCTGGGACAATCAGGTAATTACAAATCATTTACAACAGTAAAAATTTAATGAGTGCATTTAAACAGGATGAAAATGAAAATGAGGAAAATGATGATGAGCTCTCTCAGCCACCAGTTGCCATGGAAACGGAGAGCATCGAAGATGAATTGCCGCCAACACCACTTCAATCTTCACAGCAGCCCTCATTCCTTCAAGGCTCAAAGGGCCGCAAGCACCCCTTCTTCCAACGCTCAGAGTCCACTCTGTGTTTGGGTTGTCCCCCTCCTGACCCATTTGAGAGTCCCATTGCCGAAGCAATGCCACTAGCGGAGCAGCCACAGCTCCTGCAGCCTAACGCCCGCCGAGAGGATCTCTTCGGCATCCCTCGTCAGTCCATCATAGTCCCTTCAACAAGCAGTGGCAACCAAGGCACTTTTAACCCTCTAGAGAAATTGCCCACTCGTCTTGGGCTGTCTGGTAGGCTGTCCACAGATCCCAGCAACAAAGATGCAGAACCCAAGGAAGAGGCCATGGAAACGGACGGTGGTCTGGTTGAGAGGGCTCCCATCATTGTGTCGCCTCGCAAGTCGACTGACGAACTGAACCGCTCTCCTGTCAAAAGTGTGATTGTTCGCGTCGGACCCACTCCTGACGTGCTTGTAGTGCCCACAGAGCCTCTCAGGACGACCGAGGCCGAGTCAGCAGGAGCCCATGTGACCGTTGAGACTTCACCACCTGCAGAAGTGCCGCAGAGGCCTCTGCTAAGTCTCAGCCAGTCAGTTTCACACGACCTGCTGCTTGGCAGGTGGCGCCTGGCGCTGGATCTCTTTGGCCGCGTCTTCATGGAGGACGTCGGTCTGGAGCCGGGCTCGGTCGTTTCCGAGCTTGGCGGATTTCCTGTCAAGGAGGCGAAGTTCCGACGCGAGATGGAAAAGGTGCGCAACGCCCAGCAGCGCGATTTGGTGCTCAACAAGATGGAGCGCAACCGCGGCCAGCTGGTGCTCATGACTTTCAAAGAGTTCAACACTCAGTTCAACAACTACAACCGACGCAGCAGTGGCACTCAACCACCCCTGGCAGTCAACAGGGTCAAGGTCACGTTCAGGGATGAGCCTGGCGAGGGTTCTGGTGTTGCCAGAAGTTACTACACCGCCCTGGCAGAGGCTCTGCTGAGCAACGACAAACTGCCAAACCTTGAATCTGCTCAGGTAATTAACTTTTTTTGTACCAAAGTATATTTAAATTTTTTTAATGAAAATAAAAAGCTTTGAATGTTTATTTATTAAAATTTTTATTTAAGGTTGGCTCCAAGTACCCGCAGTACAACGTAATGAATCGACTTCGGCCTCGCGAGTCTGGTCGCAGAAATGCCCTTCCCCGTTCGACGGCAAGCCCGCGGTGCCGAGAAATGCGCCGCACTCTGTCTGGAGACGCGCGACCTTTCTACCCATCTGGCAGCAGCAGTAGTGACGCCCAACAGCAACTTTTGGCACCTCCCGGTGGCAGCAACGACCACCTAACACCTCACCAGCAGCAATTGGGAGAACGTCTCTACTACAAAGTGCACGCTGTGCGTCCCCATCTGGCAAGCAAGATCACAGGGATGCTGCTCGAATTGAGTCCCTCACACCTGCTGGTACTTCTTGCTTCGGAGGAAGCGCTCAGGGCCAAGGTGGAAGAAGCTGTTGACCTTGTTGCCAACTCGTCCGATATGGCCTCAGAGGCTCTCCTTGGTATTTATCTTTTCTTTTTAACTTAAATAATTGCAAATTCAAGAATTAAATCATTCTTACCAATTTTTCCTAATTACTTTTTCAGACTTGGACGTGTTCAGTCTGTCTGAGCGTAGCAAGCGTGGATCTCAAAGTGGTCGCGGCGTCGATTCGGAGGAGGCCGGAGATGAATCACCTGAGGACAACGCGCCGCTTTTCTACTCACCTGGCAAGCGCGGTTTTTACTCGCCCAGGCAAGGCAAGGCGGCCCCTGAGCGACTGAATGCCTTCCGCAATGTGGGCCGTCTGGTGGGTCTGTGCTTGCTGCAGAATGAGCTGTGTCCGATCTTCTTCAACCGGCACGTGATCAAGTACATCCTCGGCCGGCAGATTCGCTTCCACGACCTTGCCTTCTTTGACCCTGTGATTTACGAGAGCCTCCGGCAGCTCGTTGTTGACGCCGAGTCTAAGGACAACGGCACCTTCTTCAACTCACTTGACCTAACTTTCAGGTTTGACTTATTTTTCATAATTATTTTGAACTGGTTAACACAAATTATTTCAGTATCGACCTGTGCCCCGAGGAAGGTGGCGGTTCTGCTGACCTCATTCCCACTGGCAGGGACATTGAGGTGAATTCTACCAACGTGTATGACTACGTTAGGCGCTATGCAGAGTTCAGAATGCTAAGAGCACAAGAAAAAGCCTTGGAGGTAATGGAACAAGTGTAAATATGTTTTTGCTAAACTAATTATTTTCTTCTGTCAATTAGGAACTGCGGACTGGCGTATTTGATGTTCTGCCAGCTGGCTCCCTTGACAACCTGACTGCTGAAGATTTCCGGTTGCTGCTGAATGGGGTTGGCGACATCAATGTGTCAACACTCATCTCATACACGAGCTTCAACGATGAGTCCGGCGAGGACAGTGATCGACTGGTGCGTTTTAAACGCTGGCTGTGGGCGATCGTGGAGCGCATGACGCACACCGAACGCCAAGACTTGGTTGGTTATTTTTTTTAAACTTATTTCTCTTATTAATAGCCATATATGCAGGTTTACTTCTGGACTGGTTCACCAGCGCTGCCTGCGTCCGAGGAGGGCTTCCAGCCAATGCCCAGCGTGACTATCAGGCCGGCCGACGACACACACTTGCCCACAGCCAACACCTGCATCTCCAGGCTTTACATTCCCCTCTACAGCAGCAGGGCCGTGCTACGCCACAAACTGTTGCTGGCCATCAAAACGAAAAACTTTGGCTTTGTCTGAAAGACATAATCGATTCAAGCCCCCTCCTGTTTGCCGTAAATTAATTACTTACCAACTCCAAGCACGTAGCACGAGAACACTTGACATTTTTCTATTGTTTAAGTTCATGTTTTCTCACTTTTTTCTAAATTATTTTCATTAGACAATATACTGATGTAAAGCAAACGCAGTGTAGAAACCTGCTTCATTATCTGTTAGCAAGTAATGTTTGATTAAATAAATAACAAAATATGATGATTGAAAGAATCAGTTATGTACATTTTCATGACCTTCAAAAAATATCCCTTTAAAAATAGGTGCGGGATTTTTTTTAACCTTAAGTATTAGTTTAATGGTGTCATAAATTTACTTTTTTTTAAATTCTTGAAAATAAATCATCAATTATAGGGAAAATTTTAAACTAGCCCAATATGCCGATTTTCAGGAGCAGAGTTAAGAAAGATTCGTAATTTAAATAAAAATTAAATTGTTTTTTTAATGTTATGCACAAGGTTCCACATTACAAATAATATTTCCAGCAATGAAAAATTAAAGAGATATCTATATGAGTATGGTGCTTTTTAAGACCAGAGTGGCCACAAAGAAAATAGTAGAAAAATGCAGTCATTAATTTAAACATTTCAAGCATTTCCATTCTCAGTTAACTGCTTGATGGCTTGCAGTGCCTACAAGAAAAGATAGGAAATATTTTAAAAATTTTAAAAACAAAATTATAATTATTTACCTTATAAACTGGAAAGCCTTGAGATTCAGAGTTCAGCTGCAGAAGACGCTGCTTCAGATCATCATACCCAATTTTTGCAAGAATTTCCTAAAGAAACATTTATTTTTCAAGAGGATTGATTGTTTTTTTTTTTAGTACTTACCATAGACATTTGTTTGACCATGTGAGGGCGAGCATGGGCAAGCAAAACGGCAGCTAATTCAGGTTTCCCTTTAGAGAGACTGAGTATAAAAATGCCCTCGATGTCTATATCCGATCCAACAGGGCAGCGCTGCAGAAGCAGAAGACTGCATTTGCATGAATCATACTGAATAGCTGTCATAGGAGAGTCCGCTGAAATTAATACAAAAAATTAAAATTACATACTTCAAGATAATTCACCAATTTTGAATAAAATTTAAGCAACCTTTTGAAAATGGAGCTGAGATTGTGTTGTTCCATGCTCGGTTGAAAGGATGTAGCGAAAATAAGTTCGGAAAACTGGTTAGCTTGGGCAGGAGCTCCAACAATTCATTTTCCTAACATCGAAAAATTTAATCCACTGAATAAAATAATTTAGAAATTTTAATTTTACCATCTTCAAGTGAATCATCTTGGTGAGAATGTTCTGCCAGAGGGTTCTACCCAGAATTTTGTAATAAACAGCAACACGTGCCATCAGCATCAGTGCCCTTGGGTTGGACGAGTGGCTCCTCCAAATTCCCTCAACAAACGATTTCTTCTCTGTCTCCTTGAACTGCTGCATTGATAAATCGACCCGGCCTTGCAACACTTCCAATTCACTCAGAAAGTATAAGTTGGTCAGATGCTCACTAATAATATTTTAGTTTATGTAAAAAAATCGGAAAGTATAATTCATTTTCCATACTTAATGTCAGCCTCGGGAATTCCAGTAGCGTCGACCACAGCCTGTGATGGTGCCAGCCAATTCAAAAGGCGCCAGGCCCTGAGGTGCACACAGTTGCTGCACGATATGTTCTCGTTGTTGATAATGCTGATGATGTAGTCCATGTGCGCCTGTTTTTCACCCGCCTCAAGCATGTACCGTGCCCTAACAAAACTTGCAAAATATTCAAATTATACTTTTTATTGTAGAAACCTACTTTAGCAGATTAATGTTGGTCTCCAAGGTGCTTGACGCAGAGTCTTGCCCGTACTGTTGCCAAGCTCTGGTTACATCGACAAAGGACTCGTCCAGTGCGTCCGAGCCCATGGACTCTGAGAAAAGGAGGCTGCCCAAAATATTAAATCGGAGTTTCTCAACGTCAAGTGAAGCAATGTGAGCAATTTTTCCAACAGCAGAATGAATGTCTAGAGTATTTTTTTTTAAATTAGTGAATTGTATTATTACTTCCAACAAATAATTTACCAGGGTAGTTTCCGACTCCTCCACACACTCTTTCTATGATGGACGGATCTCTATAAAGAGCATCGATGAGCTCATCGGGCTTTGTGGCCAGTTGCAGGTACTCTTGTCGAGCAAGATTATCCTCATGGAGTGCGTGAACCACACAATACAGCAATAGCATGTCCGAAATCTAAATTAACACGACATTAAATTGTAATTTTATTATACGTATTTCAATCGCCCTACCTTATGCTCTACTTTACTCATGGTTTCAGGTTCTTTCTCTTCCTCCACTGCTAGGAGCCGTTGATGGCACAAGTCCAGCAAAGTGATCCTGTCTTGACCCAATGGAATCCGCTTAGCAGTGTACTCAAGGATGGCTGCCGCTGAGGAGAGCTCCTTAATGTAAGAAACACATTCGCTGACTTCCTCCACAAGCTTTTCCCTCGAATGCGAATTCCACTCGGTCATTTCACTTAGGTGTACCTCAGTGCCAATCTAATGAACATTGGGAAATCATAAATCTGATGTTTTAATATTTCTGAATCTGTTCATACTGAATTCTTGATGGCTGCAATGCAGATTTCATCAGGATCCAAACCAAGCATAGTCGGAGCCTTGATCCAGATAGTATAATTCTTGAGATTCACCTCAGTTCCTTGATTTTGATTTACAATTGATATATGTACATTTAAATATTAAGATCATAGTTACTTATGATGTCGTGAACATCCTTCAGGAATGACGGAAACGGAAGACGGACTTTAGCAAGCTCAGGAAGCACACGACCGTCAGGGTGGATTCGCATCCACCTGTCAATCTCAGCAGCTTGGGGCGCACTTTGAAGGAGGTATAATTATAAAATATTTCATGAGCCATTACAAATCTTACGTGCTCCTTGTGTATGGCTCAAGGAAAGTCAGTACGTCTGACTGGACACTCTTAAATGCCGGGTTCATAAATTTCCTCAAATTCAACAAGCACTCAAACATCTCATAGTGGTAAACGTTTAGCTGAAAATAATAAAATTTAAATTAAAATAATGATTTTTGGTAAACAAAACTAACCTTGTCCCAAATCGAATCCAGTCGATTGTCAAGAGATTGAAAATAATTTATATTCAAGTTCCTGACCAGCTGAGCAAGTCTTTTTTCAAAATTCTCATCTCTCAAACTGACAAGTTCTGTAGATACAATTAAATATAGTTTTATTTAAATAGCTAAAAAAAAATCTATTACTTTCAAGGCCTGGCTCTGAGCTTATGTATTCCAGTGTTGGCTGCCATTTAAGAATCAGGGTTTCAACCAAAATGATGATTTCATAATTTACGTCTAGCTGAAAGTCTGTGCAAAACTGAAACATTGTTTCAAGAGGTTCTTCAGGACTCGAAATCATCATCTGCTGCAGGATCAACCCATAATCAGTGGTGTGCTGGCTCATGATATCTAAAAAAATAGTAAAGTTGAGATCAAAAAGGTAAAAATAAATGCATACCTTGAGTGGAAAGACCCAATTTCTTCACCCTTTTGCCCCAACTTGAAATCTTGAGTAGACGAGCCAGCCTCGAAACTTGATCAGTCTTTTTCAAAACCACAGAGAAGTCAATGCCTAGCTGGGCCATGCGGAACAAATGGTTGCAGTCCTTACGAACTCTGCATAAAGAATGAAGATAAAAATAACGCTCAAATGTACAAATAAATATTTTTACCTTGAAATTGCACTTTCCAGCCAGTTAAGGGCATCATGAATATCAAAAGAGAACAGCAAACCCAAAGCCAGCTGCAGATCAGCTTTGCGCTCCAACAGAACTTTGTTCAATAAAGATTGAACACTCTTCTTCTTGGCGTTTGACAACTCTTTCGCCTACACAAATTTTTATTAAACAATTATAATCAATCAATATTTCTCCTCTCTACCACACTGGGATCCTTTGAGCTGGTGGTGATGTACTTGCAAATGATGCAAAATGCTAGCAAATCACAGCGGTCAATTTGAAGCAAGTCTATGTTTGAGAAAAACCTTTCCACTGTATCTGGATTGCTAGCAGAGAGCTGCAAAACTAATTAAGAATATGCTGAGGTGAAAAGAAATAAAACTTGCCTTTTTATCCATATTGTGGATGATGTTCAGTGTTTTCGAACTTGACGCTACATTAACTGGTGTATCAGTGAAGATCGGTGAGAACGTCCACGAGGTGAAAGGATCTTTTGTTGCCAAGATGTCATTCTCTCCAAAAATGTCCATGCTTAGATCAGTGTGCGCCAACAAATTTGACATATCAGAAGAATTGCATGATAGCTCCAACAAATCAGTAATTCGGCCTGTTCAGCAAATTTATTTACAAAAATTAAGATTTAAGTCAAAGTTACTAATTACCAGCTGGGCACGTAGCGATAGCAGAACAGGCTATTATGTGTAACAGTTTATTCAGGTTTACGTCATTGCTCGCACCTTGTTTAGCAAGTTCCAAAATCAAATCAACTTCTTCGTCACAAACTGGTTGATTGAAACTATGACTAAAATTGTATTTTAATTACACAAAATCTAACTTATATTATGTTTAAATATTACTCAAAGATTGATCCTAGGAAATCTGCATTTTCAGGAAGCCACTTCTCCATTGCAAATATCAAATTTACTTTCCGCTCTGAGACGCTACTCAATTTCCCTAGTCCAGCAGTTTTTTTCCAAGATGCTGAGGTATCTTGCTCTTCTTTGACTGAAAAACAAAATCAATAATAGCCCAAGATATTTCTGTGATTTGTGACGCACTTATTTGTTTCAGTAAATCTTCTTGATTTGATCTTGAATCGGGCAAAACGGAAACACCAAACTTTTCCTAAAAGAAGTATTTTATTTTCTAGCTAGTTTTAATTCGCAATAAAATATACCTGAGCTTTCAGTCTATTCTGAACAGCCTCAACCCTCTTGTTTAGTTCTGCAGTGCGCCACTCAACCTCAGATTTTGACAGTTTGTTGATCCTCCATATATTGACGAGCTCCGTCGAAACCACCAAAAGAAAAGCGACAACCTCAACTGCTTCTTCAAACATTTCCTAAAAGTGTAAGCATTTCTGTATCAAAAATGCCATAAAATTATCTAGTTAACACTTACAAAGCAGACAAGACATTCCGCTTTCACTAGTAGCCTGTCACACAATTTTTCTCGGCTGTCGATTTTTAGGCCTTGTAAATACTCAACAGCACGTCCCATTTGACTAAAAAAGTTGATATGAGCTAAGTAAGAAATTCAAAATTTTACGCAAAGTTTTCTTACAATCCATTTAACAGGTGCACTATATACATAGTGTGAACCTCAAGGATGGTCCTCGGGTCATCAGAGGCAATAAACATTGCATCCTCTAGCATACTTGGCAACTTGTGGTGAAAAATTGCCAATAATGCGTAGTTGATCTGTGACACCAAAAATTTAAGAGAAAATAAGAAAAAAAAAATAAGAGAATTTTTCTGAAAGAAAATCTTACATCAAGATGAGCATCGCCGTTGTTCAATAGGGGAAGCAGCTCGTATTTTATTAGAGTCTCCTTGATTTTAGCAAGTTTCCTTTGCTTCCTGATCACATGGGCACATTCTTCGGAAAACTGCTCTGCCCTGTCAGCGAATGCCAAGACGTTCTTGCTCCAAGGGACGGGCATATCATGAAGAATTCTGCTTACGCAACTGATGATTTTCTACGCAATTACCAATGAATTGTAAAAACACGGCAGTTAATTTCAAAAGATACCTCTGGGCTGTTCAGAAAATCAATTAGCAGAATGACCTTTTCCTCCCAAATCTGCGAGTTTAAGGATTTTCTGCAAGAATGGACGTGGAACTGCAAAGATAGGTTCATTTTTTTATGCACAGTGTATGGATATTAAAATAATCTACCTCAATAAATGTAGAAATTACTTCCTCACAGTCAATGTTGCTGCTTCCCGGAATCAACACATTGAAGTTGTTGAATATGACATGTAGCTTAAAAGTGCTGACTTTTCTTAATAGGTTGTGGATTCCTTCAATGCTTCCCAGCTTAATTAAATATCGATGTTAAATAAAATCTTCTTAAAAAGTGTAAAAAATCATACCTGCTCATACTCATCCAAATTGAGTCGGACGCCAATATTTCCTTTTATCAGCAGCAAATCAGAGAGAGCTTTGTGCATAGAATTGAGTTTTTGAATTGGTGAATCGGGAATAGAGCTCAAGTTCTGCCACTCTTTCAACCAGCCTGATAGTTCGTCCAAGCTATTGGGCTCAACTACTTTGACAGCTTTTGTGCAGAATTCCAAAGCTTCGGCAGGCCAATTTGCAGACTCCAAGTTAGCTACGGCACTGAAAAAAATTATTAAATTATAAGAAAAATATTCAAAACATATGTTTAACAAAGACTATTTATGGCAGTGAAGAATGCATCATCCAATTATATTTTTTCTTTAGAGTTTATCTGGTTTATCCATACAAAACAATCAAGAAATTATATAATTTAAGTACCTGACACGTTGATGCAGAATTTCGGCTATGTCTGCTAAAGTTTCAGGAATGTATCTAAGCACGCTGGGAACGTACGACTCTAGCCAACATGTGAGTAAATTAATTTCTATATTCATTGGTATTATTTTCAGCATAGTTGGAATGTTTTCTGCTTTTGTAAGCTGCAAAATCTCAATTTCGTGCTGGCGCCACAAAATTCCAGCAAATGAGCTGTTGCCCTGAAATTTTAAAATACAAATGTGATTACAATTAATTAAATTTATAGAGCATATTTACAGCAGCTAAAAACCCAGCCAAGTTAATCAGAAGATTTCCAGTATAGAACTCGAGCCAGCCGCTTGCGTCGTCCGACAAAAGGCAGAAGGTCTGCAGGCGCCGGTGGGCGCGGAAAAGTTTTTCCTGCAGATCAAAGCAGTCTTCGGTGCTCGCAACTCTCATTTGGGCATAATGCAGCAGCTCCATGGTCTCAGCCAAAGTGAACATTGTGGCTTTCAAACAGCTTTCAGCAGCAAACTGAGAGTCGTCGACCTTTTCAAGAGCAGTCTTCAGCTTTGTGAAGGTATCCTCAGTTGCCACAGAATTTGCGTAATGTGCAACTTCAGCTTTGTGCACCAGTTGTACGTCCAGTTGGTACTTAGTGGCAAACGAAATTGCTTCCTCGTACTTCTGCTGCCTGAGTAACCTCATAAGCCTTTAAAATGACAAAAATTTCAAAAATCCTTATGCCTATGAGTAAGAATTTTCAAACCGAAATTCCGGCTGGCTCTTAGCAATTGTCCGCAGTAAGAGCTGATTTTTCACACTCTCTCTAGCATCAATTTCCAAGAACATCACATCATCAGAATTGCCAAAGTGGTTTACAAGTTTAGCATTTTCCCCGACCTTAAACGAATAGACTTCCGCAAAGCCTGCAACAAGAAATGTCAATTGTATGGTCCAATTTCAGCAGCTCCTACTCTCTGTTTCCATGAGGCATATTGATCTCGAATTTGCAAGACTTGTGTAGACCACAATTTTTTCAGAGTCGGTATCGGTGCAAGACATAAGTGTGATCTCATTCACAAATCCTGAAGCTTCCACAACGTTGAAACACAACAAAGTTCTCGGACAAAGAACTCCAACACAGCCATTTTGAAACAGCGCCAGTAAGGAACTGTATAAAATTATGCAAGATAAAATAAGAGTTTAAGAAAACAATAAATCCGTACTCAATCTTTGGACAGAAGCAGAGGCTCTTTGCAGAAAAATTTTCCTCGATGAAAGGAAAATCTGCCACAAGTTCAAAATCGCTTGTCGAATAGAGGTTGATTTGATTGCCACCAAGCGCAATGTTTGGGCTGCCCAGAGGGAGTGAAACAAGAGCAGCACAGGAAACTTGGTCCAGACCTTTAGGGTGAACAACTTGTGCGCCAACCTTGCCATTTTCAGCAATTGCAATTCTAAAAAAAAGAGATAAAAATCAAGTTTTAAATCTGTCCGCATTGCAGAGTTTAGAAACTTACACAACAATACTGCCATCACTTGAGGCAATGAAAATTGTATTGCCGCTTTCATTAGAGCTAGAGCAGCAGATTGCAGAAAAGGTGCCTGAATTCTTAACACCAACATCCACCTTACTGCAAGTTAAAAATTTGTTTTAATAAATTCAACTATTTCCAATATCTTATGATAATTGTACTCTGAAAAGACGGCCTCTTTGTTTTTCAGGTCATAAATAATAATGAATCCATTGACAAAAGCAGCTATCATGTACAATCCATCCTCGGTACAGCCAAGGCAGTCGACAAGCTCGTCTAGTACAAGGTTCTCGATGGACAATTCATCAGTGAAGGTCAGGATCGATATTTTTGAGTTGATGCTGACAAACGTTGCACTCGGACCAGACACACTGCATACTTTTGGCAAGAAGTCGCTCTGTTTATACAAGGAACGTAATGTATGTAATTATTATAATAAATGACATTATAGGGTGCAATTTCTACCTGTTCTATTCCAAAAGATGCAAGAGTGACGCATTCAAAAACACCGCAAGGAATCTCGGCAATTTGCCGGCTTCCAAACAGTTTCGTTTCATCGTCCGAATTGAAATCAGCGTTCACCTCGTCAGACATGATGGCACATCTGAAATTTAAAATCCAGTCTTAAAAATTTAGCACGATTTCATTTTCATGAAAAATGGAGAGACGAGATAACTTGACGATGCATTCATTGATAACCTTTTAACTTTTGGCTGAGACCTTTTAAAAGTGATTTCAATGACTGATGTTAATTTGGTTATGAATTTGGTCTCATTTGTTAATGGAATTCAAAGCTATGACAGTTTTTTTAATTATGTAAAAAACACTCTATAACATTAACAACCTATTCTTTTTGTATTGAGATCAAATCAAAAGAAAATTACCTCAAATTCAGACGATTTTTTAAGACTTTGATGGCAAAACACGATCCCTTGTGCTTCAGCTGACATCTGCGCGCCAAATAACTGAGACAACCAATCAGCGAAAAGCAGCTAATCGTCCATCCAATCAGAGAAGTCCGCGTACAGAATGAGCCGCACGCAATCAGCTGTCGCCGCGCACTCGACGTTGCATTGATAAAGTTTGCTGAACATTATGGCTTTGAGATGATTTTGCGAGAAGTTTTCGTCAGATCGGCACTTTTGGACATAGCGTGAAGATCAAAATGGACCACAGAAAGCAGTTAAAGATGTGGCTGGCCGCGTTGTTTGGTTTCTTTTTAGTCTTAGACGGTGAGAAACATTTTCCTCTTTCTCGCATGTCACTCGCTCCGAATTCTAGAACAAAACATTGATTTTCATCGAAATTTTTGCGCTTTCAGAATACCACTGTGATCAAAGTAACGACGTCGAAAAGCACTTAGAAATGGGCCGACTCATGTTGGCTAGGAACCAGCTCCAAGATGCTCTCACACATTATCATGCTGCCGTCGGTACGAATTAATATTTTCAAAATAACGACATGTTGACAGATCAAGGAATAACATTGTTTTAATCATTTTTTCTTTCTTCAGAGGGTGATCCAAACAATTATTTGACGTTTTTCAAACGTGCCACCGTGTATCTGGCCCTTGCGAAGGCCAAATCCGCCCTTGCAGATCTCGAAAGAGTTCTCCAACTAAAGCCCGACTTTACCGCTGTAAGAAAAAATAATCACATTGCATAACATTATTTAATTTAATTCCCTCAAAATTAAATTTTCAAGGCGAGACTGCAAATGGCACAAGTCATATTAAAGCAGGGTGACCTTGACACAGCCCAGCAGGTCTTTTATGATGTGGTACGTAGAAGCTTCCTATTGCAAATAATTTTGCTAAATTTATTTTGTACTGTCACAGCTGTCAATCGCACCTTCAAATGAAGAAGCAATGCATGGCATTGAGAAAATCGAGCCACTGAAACAAACTATCGAGAGTGCTAGACTTCTGCAGGTTCAAGGGGACCACCCCAGTGCCTATTCTCTTTTGACCTCAGCCATCGAGGTAAAAATTTTTGTGCTTGTACCTTGGTAAATTCAATGCGGAATCTATTATTTTAGTCAATCCCTTGGGACGCATCATTAAGGGAAATGCGGGCCGAGAGTCGACTGGCCCTTGGTGACGCAAGAGGTGCCATTGCAGATATAAGGAGTGTCACCAGAATGAGCAACGACAATACTGCTGGGTATTTGAGATTGTCCATGATGTACTACGATATTGGCGAGGCTGAAGAGTCACTCAGGTCTGAGTTCAAAAATATTTCTACCAAAAATATTTTGAAAATTTAACTAATTTTTGCATTGTTTTTTTTATAATCTTTTCTTGCCTCAACAGGGAGATTCGCGAGTGCCTACGTCTTGACTCAGAGCACAAAGAATGTTTTGCACACTACAAACTGGTCAAGAAAGTTGCAAAAGCAATGGGAGACATGACCAGTGCAGAGAATGGCGAGGATTTCGAGACATGTGCGTCCGAAGGAAGAAAAGTACTGAAGTTCGAGCCCAGAGTTGCTTTGGTCAGGTTCTTGGCCTACGAGACCCTGTGCCGATGCGAACGTCGTCTTGGACATGTGACGGAAAGTTTGGAAAGCTGCAGTGAGGCGCTCAAAATCCAAAGACTCCAGTCTGTGTTGTGCGACCGAGCCGAAACTTATCTTGACTCTGACATGTTTGATGATGGTAAGCCTTTTATTATTATTTACACAAATTTGCTTATTTGTGGTGCAATGCAACATTTCAGCCATTCACGACTATCACGCAGCTTTAGAGATAGAGGAAGGAATGCAGAGGGCCCGAGAGGGCATAGAAAGGGCCAAGAAATTGCAAAAGCAGTCGGAGAGAAGAGATTATTATAAAATATTAGGCGTATCAAGGCACGCCACAAAAAAAGACATCATCAAGGCATACAGGCAAGCTATAGAATAAAACGAAATGCCATTTTAACTTCAAATTTTTTTATCAATCTAGGAAAGCTGCTCAGCAGTGGCACCCAGACAATTTTCAGAATGACGAGAATGAGAAAAAGTTGGCCGAGAAAAAATTCATCGACATTGCTGCCGCCAAAGAAGTTCTCACTGATCCTGGTAATTAAAATTCTTAATTTTTGTAATAATGTATTCAAATGGCTTTTTTTAAATGCAGAGAAACGGCAAAAGTTTGATAATGGGGAGGATCCTTTAGACCCGGAAGGCCAACGCCAGCAGGGCTTCAACCCGTTCCAACATTTCCACAACAGTCCCTTCCAGTTCAAGTTCCACTTCAACTGAAAAGTTTTTTCTAGTTGCCCTTGATTTGGACGCCTAGAGTGATCCTCAAAGACAAACATGTTATTATTTGCCCAAGTTTTAAAATGAAATTAATATCCCCTCATTTGTGATTTTGTGGTGCGCTGAATGGACATCATAATTAAAAAAAAAATGAGAAGTACAGGTTAGGTTTATATGAAAGATTTGAGTTGTGGGGGGTATATTGTGTGTGTTATGAAATCTTGTGAAATTAATTGTGAACATACAGTTTGTACAAATTGTTATTCATAATTTATTAATAAAATCGTCAAGCACTTAATACAAAATGTGATTAAAATTTATTTTTCATATTTTGTTTCATATGGTTCCGTAATCAGATTAATTTTTATAATTAATTTATCCTTATAAAATCGCATACATTTATAAAATGACTTATCAAATGTTTATCTAATTGTTTTCAAAGGGTAAAAATTTTATATAAAAATATCCTCTCGCAAATCACAAAAGGTGACTTCCAAGGTTGGCCTGACCTCTGTAGCAAATACTTTGAAACTATTTTAGCAAACATAACAAAAAATTATAATGTGTCCAAAAAATCTTGTTCCATTAAATTATCAGTATTAAAGCTTAATTTATTTATTCAAATGCCTAAAATGTAAATAAATTTTGCAATTTACAGTATATTTAGCAAAATTACAAAATACTTAATTAAATTGGAGTTAGCGTCAGGTTGGCAATGGCCTGGCGCGCCCACATACCACAAGTTATGAAAAAGCTAGTCGACAAGTCGAGTTGCGGCCACGCAATCGTCCAATCGCAGGCGCAGGTAGAAAAAACCTGTCAGGTGGAACCAGCGACTCTCTCTCCTTGGAACACCCTGAGCACAGGTGAACCGAACTGGATTCGATCAACAACATGGCAGACGATTGCTGTACAGTGGCCAGCAGGTCGATCCGTTGACTTTACCCTTTGAGTAAAGCAGTCGAACCGCGACTTGGAGGTCCACTTCGCCTGCGCCCGCCCGCCTCAGGTGAGTCTGCCTGCCCTGTGCCCCCCGGGGGCCCTGATCGGGGCCCACCGCGCTGACCACCAGTGGCGGAAATGAACGGAAAATGATTCGAAAGACGCGCAACAGGTGCTGGCAGGGCGGATTCCGCAGGGTCGCCGTGATTATAAGGGCACCTGTTTTGTTCGTTCGGCGTTGAAAACCGATCAGGGTCTCTTTAACAAAAGCGATGCGCAGGTGCTTTTGTTTGTCACCTGCCCCCGAGCCATTCATCCGCCCGGGGTGATTTACGTGCGTGTCTCGTTTTTTTTTTCGATTTATTAATTGCTTGTATTGCGGTGCACCTGCCCGTTTAGGGGGTGACCTTTGACAAGGTGCGCGTTACGTAAAGAGAGATTCAGCGGGGTTGCGTCGATCGAATGTCAATTGGCCGCGAGCGCCTTTTTCGCACATCGCGTTTCCCAACCGGTGGCGGCGACATCCGCATTTTTATCACGCGCATTTGCATTGAACCGTTTCGGAATTTATTGTGGACGTCGATGAAATTCCATGTAATTAAATGTTCAGCGAAAATTATTAGATTTTATATACATTACGCTGAAACTGGAAAAAAGTGGACAATTTTCCTTCTTTCTAGAGCATTTCGTTATTTTTTTATTTTTGTTTTCCTTAGAAATCAACATAAATAGCAAGTGATTGACGTTTGCTTGAGGAAAATTTTAGAAAAAGATAGTTGGATGAACAAAATATATATTTCCGCACAACACGCAGCAGTCGTTTGACAGCTTATTTTTTTAGTGAAATATTTGCTAGTTTCGAAGATACAAACTTTTGCGGTCAACACCCGTGGTGTCACCAAAATGTTAATGCGCATAATTTTAATTTAAAAATAGAGCAGGATAAGCTTGCTATCTAGGGTTGTTGACGAGAACATGAAATTAGCTGAGAACATTCTTTATCAAGTTAAAAAAACGGCATGAATTCTAAATATCCCCAAAAGGAATCGTCAAATTAGTATTATTTTGTATAATTTATTTATTTATTTATTCTCCATTCGATATACAGTCATAATGTCAATATACATATCAAAAAAACTATACATAAAGGTACAGAAAAAGCTGAAAATACACTTGAAAAGAGACATACTGTTTTATTAAATTTGATATGATCTGAACATAATTTTTAATTTATCATTCAACTTTTAATAGTTCATAAAAAAGTGGTTTCTTGCAGTGAGTAAAATGTTTAAATTATAAAAAGTTTCCTGTGAAATTTATAGTCATTGATTTAATTAAGGAATCATTGATGTAATATCAAGGAAATAGGGAAGTTTTTATTTTTAATAAGTTAGATTATTATTGCTGCTGATGAAAAGAGTTTATTTTTGTTTGGATCTTATGCTTCAAAAAGGGTTTGGCAACATCCTTTTTTCATTGCCGTAATTTGCTAGACCTTATTCAATTTCTGTGATCCAAATTCTTTGATTCAAATCTTTCTCAAGTACAAACAGGAAAATTGTTCCTTAATTATCAATTCAGGCAGTTAAAATTTCCCACTTTTGTTTAAATCTCCGTTAAAAATTCGGCGTTAAAGGTAAATATACAATTTTGAATCCATGCATTATTTAATTAGTATGAAATTTATTACTAATTTTATTATTATTTTTTTTATTGAAAACGCAAAATATTTCAGTCTTTGTTGTTTAATTTTTTTGAATAATGATCTTCCATTAGCGACCATCTTTTGTTTATTGCGCAAATGTGCCGGAGAGGATCAATGAAATATCCACAGGTGTCGTAGTTTGCAAAATCGTGAGCTCCGTCAAAAGTGAAACTGGAGGGCGTCGTTCGTCTATTCCTTCTTTCACCTGCAAGTTGCGTGTCATGCGTTATTTTTTTCGCGCCCACGACCCTAGTCGGTTTTTGCGACGACAGCCTTGCGAAAAATTTGCAGCACGCGCTGCAAACGGAAAGAGTTGCTTATGAAGGGGGAGGCCAATCGCGTGCATAAATAATTCCGATTGACCTCTGACGGGACCGAAGCAATGGGTATAATTGACCAGTGTATTAAGAGATGCCCTCCAGCGCGGTGATCCAGTTTCTTGCATGTTTCAAATCACAAAATTAAATATATAAAAAAAGGTTAATTATCGCAATTTTGTACGAATTTATTACGAATGGGGTTAAAAGTTTATTCCAAATACTGAGGTTATTGTTAATTTCAATAAATGAGAGTTTATATAATTTAGGATTAATTCAAACTTTGTAAAAAAAACTACTTTTTTAATTTTTTTCTTGCTTAAAAGTTTTATTGTCATTGTTGTTTATTTGACCATTGTTACAATACATAGTTTAAATGCAATTGTTGCAAACAATAATTTATTTGAAAAAAGGAATGTTGGACGAAATGGCACCACCACTAGCAAGAATAAAATTTGACTGAAAAGTTATATTTTTCTGTTTGAAATTATATTAAAATTTTCATTATAATTTGCTATTCCAGAAATTTAAATTAAAAAATGTCTTTAATAACATAAATTCATATCATTTTCGAGTTAATTGAAGTTAAAATTTTATTTAAAAATTCCGAGTAAACTTGAATGTAATAAAGAGAATTTTTAGAATTCACAATTAAATGAGGTTGGAATCTTATAATTGAGCATTACAAAAAAGGCAGTTTTTCTATTTTCGGTTTTCGAAAGAGATGCGTCTTGCCCTTGGTTAAGGCTATTCTCATTCCAGTTTTACTCTACGTAAACAGAACCAGGAATAAATCTCTTTCGCCGAATCCGTTTTGCACCCAAACCAAATAAACGGACGCTAAAGCCGGAAATGAACATATAAATCTGCTAAAAAAAAGCTCTCTACGCGGCAATAATCGCGGTGTTATCTGTATGGGCGGCGTAACGACCGTGGCGACCTAGGGTGTCCCTGGCATTGGCTCTCCATGATCGACGACACGCTGCAATTAAACGTGCTCATAAAAACGCGACCCCATTCGCACAGATAAAAATAATAGCAGACTAGCTAATCGACCTCCGCACCTTATCTATTCGCGCGGAGACCTCAAATCCGACGCCGATTTAATTTCTCACGCAGCGCCGTCGATTTTCAATTCGTCGGCAGATTGAACTCGAGGACCTTTTAATTGAAACGAGTCAAACAACAGAAGCTGTCGTGAATGCTGATCTGAAAGTTTGGTCAGAGAAAGGAAATCGTGCGTGCGTCATAATTAGGGTGATAATTGCTTTTCCGCTCTTGTTATCTTGCAAGAATAAGGAAATTCGGAGCGCAGGACTAAATTTTTGCTCGTAAAAGTTGGGATAATACTTAAAGTGAAATAAATAAATGAAAAATTGAAACCGGGCAAACCTCATTGCAATGAAAAAAATAGAAATAAAATGGAAAGAATTTAATTATAACAAACATTTATTAATTTCTGTGGTTGTAAATTATTATCAATTATTTAAATAAATATAAATTAATCCACTAACTTGCCAATGAAATTAAAAATTAATTGCCTATTTTTTGTCCAAGAATTAAAAGAATTTACTTTCATTTTTATCCTCATGAAATATCACAATTAATTAAATAATTTCTATATTTTTCAAGCCTCTCAAAGCTTACAAAAGCGATAATTATCTAAAGTGAAAATTTAAATACTATATTAAAATGCATCTGGATTTTCACTTTTGATCGCAGATTGCACCCGCCCCCGTTAATTAACGACCGCTAATTTCACCGTCGTCGCTTTTCTGATTGCAATCTGGAGGCGGTGGAAAGACAAGTAGCGCGATGAAATCATACTCTTCTTGTACTTCCAATTAAATCGCTCGAATTATTCTTCCTCTCTGTCTCTCGAGAGGAAACGGCGGGTGCGCACGTTCGTTGGGTTTTTTTTCCACCGCCCAGCTCGCAACTGCTAGAATTGCTAGAATACACAAACCCGCAGTCGTACACTCGCGGTCGTTGTGGAATGCGCACCGCATTCAATTCATAAAATATAATTATTATATTATTGAAAGAGCCTCGTTTTCTCTCCAAATCAATCTTCAACGAGGGCGTCGAACCGTTCTAAATGAGAAACCAGGACTGTTTGCGGCTGAAAATCGGTAATAATTTCTCTTTGATTGTTTTAACACTTTTATATTTTCGCACAGACTGACCAGACTGTAACAATTTTCTCAACCAATAATGCATCGTCGCGTTAAATGTCCAATCTGGTATTTTATGAATTTTATTTGAAAATAAAAAAAACTGATTATCTGCTCCAATAATTTATATTATTTTATTATTTTTATTAGTATTTTTAAACATTAAAATTATTTTGTATGATTTGAATATTATTTTCAGTCATGAAATAGAAACTAAATAAACTAATATATTCGTTAAAATGATTTCATTCAATAAAAATAAATTTAAAGACAATCTTCGTTTTTTTTTTAAATAAAATTTATTATTTTGTTTTCCTCCAATGCAGTTGTTTGATTTTAGCGCTCATTCAATTAATTTGTAAACAGAAAGGTGTCTCCATTGTATCAGAGTCTAGGAAAGCGTGCAGCTCGTTTTTCCCATTTCGAGCAAAGGCTCTTGACAATTCCTCATTGTTTCCCATTTATATTCTCTTTCACCGAGATGCACTTGGCTCCGCGTGGAGGTCGCACGGTCGTCTTCTTTTGAAACCATAAACTGCAGCGGCCCGGACGAGATAAACGTGATTGTTTTCGGTTCGCGCCTTTTTATCTGTTAATTGCGTCTCGCTTTTGCGTTCGGCAAACACAGCCCCTGCTTTGTTATTTTAAAGGGCTTCAGGTTTTTTACGACTCATTGATCGTCATGAAAATAATAATACTCTCACTTTCTCTCTAAATCATTGCACCTGTCCATTGTTGAGGCGCTGAGATTTTATCGAGAAAAGGTATTTTAATTGTATTTTTAGAAAATACAATAGAGTAAGAATATGTTTTATTGTGCTGTCAACAAGTGTTTCTCACGATTGATTATAACAAACTAACCACAAAATATAAATCAATTTTAGAGTTCATAATTTTTCTCACAATCTGAGCTGAAACTCTGTAAAATCTATTGTATTGGATCAAATTTTCAACAAGTTAAAGGCAATTAAATAAATTATCTAATAAAATTAATTGAAGAAATTGACACACTCATCAAGATGATCATGGAAGTGAAAAAACGGGCTTTTTCCTCGTAGGAATTGTTTTTATTTTTTGTTGCATAACAAAATCAATTTTTTACAACAAAGAAAGGCCCGTTTTCATCACTTCCATAAAACCGTATTTAAAATAATTTAAAATTCAATTAAATTCAAATAAATTCAAATTTAATAACAATTTGACAAATTAACAGCAACAATTTATTGTCGTTCTGTACAATATTGAAAGTAATCTTTACAAAACATCAGGCAAACAAATTGGAATTAATATAAAAAAACCGTTGCTGAATGAAAAATTCTTATATTCCTAAAACCATATCTAAAATTCGCGCCTTTTCGGACGAGTTAACTGTCCATCGGTGGACTTGATTTTATTACTCTTGGCGGCGTCGCTTTCCACGCTTCCGCGCGTTCCTTACGATCCGAAGCGCATTCTTTCATTATCAACCCGATTCGCGAATACAATCGCGGTGCAGCGAAGGCGCCATGTGCGGACACAAAGGCGCGAGCAGACGCGCCATTGTTTGCCTCTTTCCGGTCTGAAAACCGAACAAAACGAAAACACCGCAGCAGCGACCATCTCTCTCGGTTCACCAATCTCGAGCGCGCTATCAGACACTGAACTGCGTACGTGACTCATAAAAATCTATTCTGGCTCGGAATTAATTTTCGCTGCAATGTGGTCTGTGGTGCGAATCGTCATCTCGCGCAAGGGTCAAATCAATTGGTGCTGCGAATTGCGCACCAACTCGCGGCCCCCGCTAACGAGCACGTGCGTTTCGCACCCCGCACTCGCCAACTGCAGTCGGCAAAACGCCGGATTCAATTTGCGATTTGCAGCATGTGGTACGTCACAACACCGTAATTTGAACTAGTTGTAGGATTTTTCCTGCGCAGTAAAGAGCGGTTGGGCCCAGCTGTGGTGTGGTCAACAAACTCTTTTGTCAACTCCAAGTTCCGCCGCGTTTTTTCCAGCATATACTAAAATTCTAAAATTCAGAACAAAATAATAAAATGGTGCGTTTCTTCATAACTTCATATCCGTTCCATTTAAAGCAAGTTTTAAAAAATGATGCGTTACACAATTTCACATAAGTTTCATAATATTTAATTTGTATACAATTGAAATTTAAAAATTAATTAAATTAATACATATAATAAATACCAAATTCATTCAAGATTATAATTTTTATTACTTTCAATATCTTGGTAATTTTCAAATTAATTTTTGTATATTTTTAATTTTTTTTTATCACATTACAGAATTTTGTCTTCGTATGGTAAACAAATAAACAAAAAAATCAACTGTATTCAAAATAATTTTATAATTTAAAAACAATTTATATTAATTTTATGCTTCTTTGTCCACATTTTTAATTTATTAATTTTTGGATAATATGATGGATTCATCCTCAAAAAATAAATTCAGCTTTCAGCTGGCATCTAACTTGAGTTTCTTCTTCTCTTTTATTATTAATATTATTTAATTAATTACGCGAAGCTCATTGTTATGTGTGAAATTCGCTCTTCTTCTTCTTCTGGCGGGCTCGAAGACAATCGCGCTAGAAACTCGTGTCAAGACCGCCGAGAAAATGCATTTTTCATCAGCACACCGAATTAACGAACGAACTTTCATAACGCACTCGGGGACAAAGCATCGAGCACGATCCTTTGCGTGCGCGTCGCACTTTCCTTTTCTGCAACGATTACGAGCCTAATTTGAGCTTCTCCACTAAATACCCGCGCGGTCGACGACACTTCTTGCAGACAGGATTACCATATTTTTATTGAAAGCGTCGAGAATCGGTGGAATATTATTCGTGCCACTCGAACACGCCTGACTTTGCATTATTCCTGCTCCAGATTTCTTTCTTTTGGTCATGATTTTTTTTCTGATTTTTCTTGCAGATTCATCAGTAGCGATGGACGAGGTGGCCGGGCTGGCCGAGGAGCGCGAGGAGAGCGTCACGAAAAAGCAGGCTGAGGTGTTGGTGCGCTCGCTGAAGGCCCTCAAACTGGGCCTCGGCCGCTTTTGGCGACGGCAATCGGCCACCATCACAGACTACGACCCCACCTACCGCGTCGCCTACCTCGGAAATGTGCTCACCGGATGGGCGAAAGGTAATGGGAATTTTTTTTATAAATAGAAAAAATTTAGGATAATTTTGTATTTTAAACAAATTAAAGTACATTTAAACGCCTTTTATAAAAAATGATTAAATATTCTTATTTTTCATTTATGCAAATTTTTTACATTCAATTGCAGAAAACAATTTATTTGATAAAAAAGGAATTGTTGGACAAAACGGCAAGAATTTTGCTAAAACTTCCAAGATCAAAAGACCCCGTCCGCCGCATGAAATGATATAAATAATTTTTTTTCCAATAAATTAAATGTTGAACGAAATCTAGTTCAGTCGCACACGACTTATTTGACTCCCTCTTTCATTGTCTATCTATCGCATCCGTCGAGCGATCAAAACAACACTGAATTTTAATTAATTGTCTTCGTGCTCCTAATTTGCTTCAAAAGTGGGTCTGACCTTTCTTTGCGACCACACAATTCGTTTCCCACCCTATTTTAAAAGCGAATTAAGTTACATTATTATTATTCTAAAAGCACGGCGGATTGTTTTGCCTCCGCAGTCTGTTGTGTTTTCGTTTGTGAATAATCTTCTGCCACTCGGCCTTGATGGCAGACGGAAAAAAAATACACTGACGAAATTCCACATGCTCGATTTGATTCACGCGCTTGAATGTGTCAAGCCGGCTGTTTTTAATTTGTGACATACATTTAAGAGAAATGATATTTTGAAATAACATTATATCATATGGGGGTTTTTTATCTCGGAAGTTTTGGCAAAATTCTTGCTGTTTTGTCGAACAATTCTTTTCAAAAATTGAACGCAAACAATGTGATTCATCAATTTAGACAAAAATAATAATCATATGGTTAAAAAAAAATTGCCAATATTTTTGCATTAAAATTGAATTGAATTCGAAGACGTGGACATCATTTAAATTGGTGTTCCTGTTCCTTGAGAAATTAACAAACGTTATCCGGATTAATTAATTAATTCGTTTCTCATGCATATATAATCGGATTAATTGCAAGCAGGTGTTTCACAAATTTGATTTAATCTTCCACCCATCAACACAAAGCAAAATTGTATATTTTTGCATTCAACCTTCACAACGCAAACCTTCGTTTTGTTTTGCATTCAGACTAATTGTCTCGGCGCCGAGATCAAGTTGCGGAAAAATTTTTGAAGCGCGGTGACTTGGCAATTTTGTATATATCATATTCCATTTATATTTTTAATAGAAAAAACATAACTGGAAGGCTGCGTTTAGTGGTGCCGAACAATTATCAAAGAAACGGTTACGGACGAGAGCAAATTTCGGCTTGTTTTATGCTAATCTTTAATGACACATGCTTGGGTGCATTTTTCACTGCGAGTTAGTTAGCCTCGTTTTTAACAACGATTTATCAAAACAATGCACCTGATTTTGCTGCACACGCACGCACGCACGCGAGCCGATTTTTACTTTCTAAATTTCTTAATTTTTATATCATCGTCTTCAGCATTAGCGGTTTTTGCGCAAGCCGGTAGGAAATGATCGTCTTCCTCTCCGCATCCTTTTTAATTGGGCTTCGATTCGGCGGTGGTTTGTTTGCTCAAGTTGCAAAGCTCGCTCCACTTTGATATACCTGAGCCTTATCGCTCGTGATCCAGGTCAAAAAAGCAAGTGCGCAGCCGAAATAATTAGGCACTGTGTAAGGTCTTCCCGCAGACTGGTACCAACTTAGTTGGTCTTGCTAATTAGCGCAATGAATGCAATATGATGCGAATGTCATGTTAGCTTGATGGACGCTTGTGTTTTCTAAAAATAAATAGATTGTCAAGGCTATTCACTTACATGGTTTTTCAATGCAGTTTGGACGGACCGAGAAAAAAATTAAGTAATTTATTCCGTCTAAAGTAAATTTTATTAGTCCCTGAAAAGTCAATTATTAAATGTTTTCATTACGTGGAAAAAAATTGAGACTAACTTTTGCATTCAATGATATTCAAATCTTTATATGGACTTGAAAAAATTCATCGTTGATTAGAATTTAAAGTCAGCTTTTCCTCGATGGATTTTGCGAGTTTTGCAAGTTTTTTATTTCAAGAAAAACTAAAAAAAAAATATATCCTGCTCCACATGTTTCTGCGGCCATAATTCATGAGCTTTGAAATCATTTTGACATAAGAATTAGTACAAAAATCTATTATTTATTGATTTTTTTTTTCAAAGTAACAATTTTCCGTTCAAAGTTACAAACCCCATCGAGGAAAAGCCATTAATTCAAATGTCAATGAAATTCTACTGCATAATTGGGGGAAAAAATATGAAATATAATTTTAATTTTTTTTTTTAAAATTATAATTTTATGAGTATTATTTGTTTTTCTTAAAATTATCTTGAAACGATAAAACGAATTCCAAAATATTAGATTATTAAATTTAAAAGAAATTTAACATGGAAAACTAATGCTTGAAAAATGCACTAAAATGCCCAAATTTCCACTTTTAATTTTAAATCTTAGTTCTTGTCAAAAACAGATTTGGAGTTCTGTTTCCAAAAAATTAGTTTATCCATTGAAAACTCTAAAATCAAGACAAACAGTGAAGCACTGAAATGGGAATTTTTTTTTATGGAAACAGAAATCTAAATCTTTTTGAAAAGAATTTAGATATTATCCAATTATAAGTTGAAATTAGGCCATTTTCATTCGCTTTCGTTCACTCAGTTTTTGATTCCACGTAAAATTTCTTTTGAAAACTTAGAATGCAAACTGGAATACACTCAACAACGCAAACACGACACAACTCTACACTAACAAATTAACAATATTAAATTTATCAATTAATAAATATTTATTTCTCCTATATTTTGATCAATTTCTTTAATTATTATTGATGTTTACTTCAAAGAAACGCAGTAAATAGCTGTGTTGCTCAACTTGCCATTCACAAGTTTGAAACGACTTTCAATATTATTTCATCGGCCGAATGCAAATTCTCCGTTCTTGATGCAAATCCCTCGTGCGAATTAACCGAATCTCGACAATGAAAGTCCGGAAAAACCGCAATTACGCGTGAGACCGGCGATCTGCTTGCGAAAGAAAAGAATCGTCTCCGCCGCGACTTGATTCCCGCTTGCGCAACTCGGTGCGGCGAGCAAGCGAGGGAATCATTTATTATTTTTCTCGTTACGCCAGCAGAGCTATCAGATAACAAAACACGCGCGTTATTGGGGCGCGACGCGGATTTCTATGCAAATAATCAGCCTCGTCGGCAGCATCGCGGCCAAATATTGTATATTTTGTAGCGGAAAAACGGGGCAACAATCGAATTATATACGCCGTGGCCAAATGGGTCGCGTTTGCGGTCGCGAGCACGAGAAAATTGGACGCTGCCCGCTGGCTTTTTAATGAAGAATCAAAACAAAAGAAGAGACGCCATTTACAGTTTTATATGATTCGATGGGAGATCACGTATTTTTTCAGACGAAAACTGGATTCGTCTTAACCTCGAAATTCCGTTCTTCTTCTTTGGCGCACTCTCACTTTTTAAGGTTAGGCGGAATTACACGTGTGTTATGTGTTTCTTTATTCGCTTGAGTGTTTGCAGAGTTGTGCAACTTTTTTACTGGCAGGTTGCCAAAAACGTCTCTCTTTTTGAACATGACGAGAGTGACGAGTGCTTGTCTGCTTGGCCGCCGGCTCGGGTAATTAGCGACCCGAGCGACCGGCTTGAAAACCGCAGCACAGAGAGTGGTCGTTTTTCTTGAAAATTGTGACACTGAAAGGAAAATAGGCAGGCGGTTGAGCAAGAAAATACTTGCCATTTTCTTTCCACAAACTTGACAATTCAAGGGAAACTCTTCAAAGCTGCCGGATGTATATTGGAATTTGAGATTCCGTCGGTTCAAAGCTGATTCTGCTTTGTTTTGAAAGAGAAAAAATAGAAATATTTTAATTATTAACTTCAGTCTTGTTTCAAATGGTTAGAGAAGCCTGACGATGAGAGTAATTTATTGAAACTGCATTTATTTCACTTCACTTATTGGAAGGGGAAAACCACCGTCGAGCTTTAATTTCTGGGTTTTTTTAATAAATTTTTTTGATTATATATCATAATTGTGAGATGTTTCTATTTTTTTAAAGTTTTTATCACACATTTTCAGTAAAACCAAGTGAAAACCCCTTAAAAAAATTAAACCCTGAAACTGCTTTGAAAAAAAAAAACTATTCTGCACAAATAAGAGCAAAATCTACAAAATACACAAACGGCACTTGAACATCTATGGAAGAAGTAAAATGCAATTTAAAAATAAATTTCATGGAAAAATATATTTTTTTTCAATTATTTAACAATAAATATATTTGAATTTGAAATTATAGAGAAAGATAAAATTCAAATTCAAAGTATTCATAAAGTTTTAATAATATATGTATTCCAACTTTGTCAGCAAATATTCAACGACTTTATTAGATTTTTTTCTTATTACTTTAAACTTTTTACTGAAAAGTTGTATCTTTGTCTTTGAATTTATATTTTTATAAACTTTTGCTATTCTACAATATAATAAAGACAAATAATTTTGAGTTCTAAAAAATTTGTATGTTTTGAATGTGTGAATTCAATAAAATAGACTTTGTAGAATTCACAATTCAAGGAGTAATTTGTGCAAAAGTTGAAATTTGTATGTTGAATGTTACAAAAAAGGCAGTTTTTATATTAATGTTTTTTGAAAGTCTTGCCCTTGGTTCAAGCTATTCTTATTCTAGATTAAACGAAATTTTAAAATAATAAGATCACTTTAAAATTTATGAATTTAACTGAAGCTACATGAGAATCTCATGCCACGGCCTTTGACTTTTGTCACTGATTGAATAAAATCAATAATCAAGTCCCATTGTCCGTTTGATTAAGGTGAAGGCTGCACTGAGAAGCCGGTTGGGACTCTTTGGCGCAACTACTGCAGCAGCAGCCGGTCGGACGTGGCGATGACGCTGACCATCGGTGCTGCCGGACTCCGCGCCACCACCAAGGAACACGGCCTCACCGAGTACTGGAGCCACCGGGTCACGTACTGCGCGGCGCCACCTTCCTTTCCCAGGGTCTTCTGCTGGGTCTACCGCCACGAGGGACGCAGACTGAAGCAGGAGCTGCGTTGCCACGCCGTCCTCTGCTCAAAGGTTTCATCGATCAATTGAAAAAAATAATTCAAAATCTAAATTGGAATTTCTTTCAGGCGAGTGTGGCGCGGACGATCGCTGCCCAACTGCAGGCGCGGCTGGCCGAGGCGCTCAGGGAGTTTCGACGAGACAAGCTGTGTCGACAGCAGGCGCGACTCTCCCTAGCCAACGCCGTCTACGCGCAACCCTCGCTGCCAAAGCGACGCATCATGCTCAGCACCGGCGCCACCAACTATCGGCCACCCCTGGAGAGATCCAAATCTGCACCTAAGCTTGGTCCTATTGATGAAATATGTGAAGAGGTGTGCACAAAATTCCTTAATCATTTCATTAAAAATGTGTTCAAAAAGAGTGGTTCAGTGACCATGATAATTTGCAGGAATATCAGAGTTTCAATTTTTTTTTTTTTTATCAATCTAGAATTTATTTTAATGAAAGAGTTATTATATTTCTACATTGAATTGCTTTGGTGAAAGAAATTGCTTTCAATTATTAATGATTTTTACATGAAACATTCTAGAATGGGAATTATGGAGGTTAAAACAAACTTTTTATTGAATAGTTTGATGGGAAATGAAAGTTGCAATTTTCCTGATTTAATTTTGATTTGGTGATTTTCACATCTATTAATTCATTTTCTTGAAAGTAAAAAATAATTTTTACTTAATTCTTATTCATAGTATTTTGGGCTAAACATTTTTAATTAAGCAAATTTTCCAGACTGGTTTACTATTGTCAGTGTTCTCAACATGATATATCAGACATATTCTGGTATATTCTCTCCATGATTACCCTGTTAAAAGCCTGTATTAGCAGGAAGATAATTCCCCCATTATTTTTTTGATCTCTTTGATACTTCTTCCACAAGAATAGATAGGGCTTCTATCTCATTAAAAGCAGTTATGAAAGATGTTCAATTCTATTTTAACTTGCTGAGTTAGTCTCATGTTTCTCTGAGAAAGGCTGAATAAAGATAAAGATAGATGTTTACCCAATGAAGCATTTTGCAGAATCGCAGAAGCTCTCCAGACGTGCTCAATCCGTCTTATAACATCAACAGAACTTTTGCAAGACCGTAAAATTTTGCAATCTGTGTCATTCAGAATGTGATACTTTAAAATCTATTTGTAGCTATTTGAGTTTCATTTTCCTTAATTTCTCAATGCTAAAGTTCTTACACTAGGAAGCACACAAATTTTTACCATAAATGCAACCGAAATAAATTAATGAATCATATTGAATATTAAAAAAAAAATTGTAGAAAATAATGCACCTTTATTTAGTAAAATGAGATTTTAAGGAATTAGAATTGATCCAACACTAAGGAAAATTGATCATGTTTTCTTTTAATTTCAAATTGACATCTCTTGTCATTTTTCAAGGAGTTCCTGTCAATAATCGAAGAGCCTGAAGAAGAGGAGGGCAGCCTGAGTAGCGAATCGGGCGTGGTGGTTGCACCAGCAGCAGGAGAGGACGTCATGCCCTGCGGTTGTCCCCAGGGTGGCTGTTTATGCTGCGAAGAAGGTCCCGACTCGGACGAGAGCGGCTATGACGAAGCCGATTTCAGCTCCAAACCTTTGGCCGAGCCTTCCAAGGACGACGAAGACTCGACAGGCACCCTTTGCGAGACAAGTTCATTGTTCAGGCCGGGAGAATCGCCTCCCAAGCTGAGCAAACCGAGAAGGAGGAGCGCCGAAAAGCAGAAGTGCCTCGTTAGCGAAGACACGGGCCAGCTGCAGCACAAACTGGCAGGCGCCACCATGGACGCAACGTACGTCCAGGTGTGACGCCCCTGTTAGTTCAGAGGACGCTCGAGCGATAAATCAAAGTCAAAATTCATTGGTTCGTTTGTCAGGCTGACCAGATTTTTAATGAAATTATCCGCAGTACATCCACAGTATTTAGAAGAATCTCAGGTTTTATTCTCATTTTATTCATGATTTTTGTTCACTGGTCAGTCTGTGTATGGGGAGTTCAGTGTTGCAGACTTTTGAAGTACAAACGCGTCCTCCGTGCGAACCACAGATCTGTGACATAAGACTACATTTTGTGCTGTCCCGACTTTTGCCATGAGAGCTCAACCACGAAATTGTGACTGTAGATGTGAGTGTGTGCCTGTCCCCTTTCTGTTGAAGAGGCCAATTCCTCCGCCTCCTTTGACCTAGTCGACTAACGAGAAAAACAAGAGCCATCATCACACTTCGTGTTTCCTAGAAGCACCCGTTAATGCTGAAAGCGCAACTTATCATTCCAACTTTAATACTTAAAAACAATGAAAATTACTCTCGTTCCTGATTAGCATTCTTCGATTTCATTCCATTTTAATCGCACAATCTTGCTCTTGTTAGCTCATTTGCTTTTTGTATGTTAGGTTTTAACCGAGGAGAGGCTGCCGAGGATTTTCTTTGCAGCGAAAAAGTGGGAGATAAAATACATATTTTAGAAAATTGAGAAATGTCTGTGCCTGTGAATAATTTGTATTCTCCTGAACGCACAAGTGAGATAGGTCTGCTTTTGTGCCTTGGAAATGAATCTTATATTAATTATTTGTGTATAAATGACATAATCTATTTTATCAATACTGTCATCATTAGTTGAAAAGCAGAAATCTTATGTGTTCGGTGATGACCTCTGATCTGATATTCAAATCTGATATTGCTGATATATATTGTATTAATTATTTTCAGTAGCTACTGTGCATCTGTTAAGTGAAGTATTGCTATTATATTATCAAACAAATAAAGCATAAAATATTTCTTATAATTTACTGACTTTCAATTATTAGTTTAAAACCTGCACATTATTAATTAAACAGGCAAAAATTAAACTTAAGTTGTAAAAGAAAAAGAAATTTTGGTAGATATTCATGCCACTTTGCCTAATAAACAAACTCATCCAAAAATACTAATAATTTTTCGACAGCTAAAGTAATAATTTTAAAAATCAATTTTTATTTTTAAATTTCCTAAAATTTTTATTTCATTGCTTTTCTGGAAATGTTTGAACCCAATAATAAATGAAATTGCATCTAAATATAAATTACTCTACCTCTTCTTATCACATTTTAAAACTTTTTGTATCAACCGAGAAAAATAAATAATAATTAACATTAGTAAAAGAAATCTCTGCAGAAATGCACGGAATATATGCAACCAGCTATCTTGAGATGAGTAGCGTGTAGCCTAACCAATATTTTTATAATCGTACTAAAGAATGGAGCGAAAGCTAACATAAGCCGCCTGTTAGAGGATATCTTTGTGGCGTTGAATTATTATTTTAAATACTTTTATGTGAACAAAAAGAATAAAATGTTGGTTTGAATATTCATTCTGAGAACTGTATTATTTGTTCATGTATTATCCATAAATGCATATTATTTATTAATATAAAAATACATTCTGGAAGTTGGCTCTTTGCCGTTGCAGCATTTGGCTATGGGCTACGAGGTGCTGCATGGGAATAATATTCAGCTTCTCGCCATGTATGCTTTCTCTGCTGGCCAGAGTATATCACATGCACTTTCACCGCACTCGCTGTGCCGGGTCACTCTGGGATCAAACATTTTTCCAAATGAAAATGGCATGTCAAAATTTTTTCATGGAGATATACTTTTAATTATATATTTTTTTTATTCATCCAGGAAAGAAATTATAATTGCGCAGTTTGCAGTTTGTGTAAAAGCAGAAACGAAATAATTTAATCTTTTGAATCTTTCTTACAATACTTAGGGAATAATGTGTCTTAATCTTGATGAAATGTGATTAAATTCTATTGTATCTCCCCTTGTTATATTTTAATTATTATTTTTTTTTTAACAATTAAAAAAAGCTTTAATCTTAATTTAGTATAAGAGTGTATTTATGAAAAAAATATATTAAAATTTTTATAAATTATAATATTTTAATAGATATAAAAAAAGTATATGGCAAAATAAATATACTTCTATAAATTTAAAAATATATTGTTATAATTAAAAAATATTACGGTAAATCTATTTGGTAATTATTATATTATTTGTATTGTTACAAAAAATATATTTAATAATGGTTTATTTCCCGCCGGCCGCCAGGGGATGCTCTGAACCGCTCTGAGCAGCCATACAGAAATCATGAAAAGCAAAATACATATAAATCATCAGCTGTCGCAGCACCGGTCACGTTTCATGCCGCGCGTTGTTGTTTTTAGTGTTTACATGAAGAGTTCAGAAACGAACGAATTAATTGTTATTATTCCGTTAACTCTACCCACGTAAGTACATATATCTTGCAAACAAACGATGCCTTCATCACAAAAATTGCACTTTCAGTGAAAAAATTAGCCAAAATACAAACAACTTGTTTCTGCTCTTAAAATTATTGGGGAAAAAATGCTTGTTATTCATATTGGTTGATTAAAAATTGGGTTAAACTAATAATTGTGAAGGGAGATGATTAGAAGCAGAATTAACAATTTATAAATATATCGTGTTTTTTTTTACAGATTAAATAATATCGTCATTTATTTGAATGTCCTCAATAATGGGAGAGAACTTTTGTTCTGAAATTTTCCAGAAAATTCGAAGTTCGTAGCTCGTCGACAGCAGTCGATTTGAGTGCTTATCAGCCATCGGCATGGCATTAAAGAAATTTTTTTAATAAAAAAATCACTATTTTGAGCCTAAATTTTAAGTTTTTGGGCTAGTTATAAAAATCAATGCAGTCCTCCTCGCTATTTAACATGATTTTAAACAAAGAACACTAAGGAGCATCTTTTGGGTGCTTATCAGCCATCGGCATTTCATTTAAGAAATTTTTTTAATAAAAAAACACTATTTTGAGCCTAAATTTTAAGTTTTTGGGCTGGTTATAAAAATCAATGCGGTCCTCCTCGCTATTTAACATGATTTTAAACAAAGAACACTAAGGAGCATCTTTTGGGTGCTTATCAGCCATCGGCATTTCATTTAAGAAATTTTTTTAATAAAAAAATCACTATTTTGAGCCTAAATTTTAAGTTTTTGGGCTAGTTATAAAAATCAATGCAGTCCTCCTCGCTATTTAACATGATTTTAAACAAAGAACACTAAGGAGCATCTTTTGGGTGCTTATCAGCCATCGGCATGGCATTTAAGAAATTTTTTTAATAAAAAAATCACTATTTTGAGCCTAAATTTTAAGTTATTTGGCTAGTTATAAAAATCAATGCAGTCCTCCTCGCTATTAAACATGATTTTAAACAAAGAACACTAAGGAGCATCTTTTGGGTGCTTATCAGCCATCGGCATGGCATTTAAGAAATTTTTTTAATAAAAAAATCACTATTTTGAGCCTAAATTTTAAGTTTTTGGGCTAGTTATAAAAATCAGTGCAGTCCTCCTCGCTATTAAACATGATTTTAAACAAAGAACACTAAGGAGCATCTTTTGGGTGCTTATCAGCCATCGGCATGGCATTTAAGAAATTTTTTTAATAAAAAAATCACTATTTTGAGCCTAAATTTTTAGTTTTTGGGCTAGTTATAAAAATCAATGCGGTCTTCCTCGCTATTAAACATGATTTTAAACAAAGAACACTAAGGAGCATCTTTTGGGTGCTTATCAGCCATCGTCATGGCATTTAAGAAATTTTTTTAATAAAAAAAAAAACACTTTTTTGAGCCTAAATTTTAAGTTTTTTGCCTTATAACAATTTTGTAATGGATCAAAAAACACTCGATGCTGCGCACTACGTACTTACAAATGAAGATAATAAAATTATCCTAACTAATGAAAGCTTTAAAAATTAATCGCATGCAACATAAAAAGCGCTCAGGTGATTAAAAAACGAACGTGATTTGTGACCCTCGGCGACCCTTCTCGTCTCACTTAATGCTGCATCTCATGGGTGCAATGCTGGTGAATCAAGTTCACGATGGGGGGTTTTTTCAGCACAACGACCTCAGTCGTGAACTTGGCTTTCTCCGCTCACAATTTACTCTCCGTTGGGTTGCAGATCATTTACAGTTTTTACTTCAAATCTTATTTTATAAAATAAAAATTGTTTTACAATTCAGCCCAAAATTTTTATAAAATATAGTTTAGAAAATATAAGGCAGATTTACCTTTTTGATTTTCCTGTCTCAGAATTACTGTTAATAAGTTCCAATTATATGCCAATGCGATACGTTTTCGCATGAATGGATCTTCGCCTTAGGCGTCCAGAAAATTGCGAATCGCCAATGGAGCGTGAAAATAAGCTAAAAACACTTAATTCCGAGAGATGCGGAAGAAAGTGAATTTCTCTATTAAATAAAAAGGTCCACCCGCGAAACGCAACGGAAAGAGCGCCAATAGCTGATAAAATGCACGAAAATTTCACAGATTGCAATCTAATTTGGAATAATTTGAACCTTTCGAGCGTTGATAACATCCTCTCTGCGAGTTGATAAATAAGTGTTTTGGTGCTCGAGGGAGTGGGCGGGAAAATCATAGCAGTTCTAATAGACAGCGCGGATTAATCAAAACACACTCGCACGTGGCGCATCGCGAGCGAAACAACTCGTTTGCCAGGGAACGCAGCTTCCAATTAACTGCCCGTCAAAACACTCCGGCGCGGGTGTCATTTCTGATACACTAATGGGCACATTTTATATTTAGGAAAGCAGTTTTCGCTTCGATCAATTTCTCTGCCTGCGAAAGAAAGAAAGAGAGGTTTCTATTGTCAAGAGCAATGATTCATATTTAATCTAAAATGTGGGAGTGCGAAATGAGAATTAAGAACTGTTGCTACGATAAAAGATAAATTAACTAAAGGGAAATAAAATTAATAAATAAGTTAATGATTTTATTTCGTAAATGTTGCCGCTTTTGAAAATTCATACTAGATTAAAAAATTAAATAATAATAATATTAAATTTTATTTTCTTGGTAATATTTAATTTATTTTGAACAGTTGTTATTTATATCACAAATTTTATTTTTATCAGCCATTAAATTGCATAAATTAATTTAAAAACCGTTATTGCATATTTAATTGAGATATTTTCTTAGTAAAAATTAAGTGTACTTATTTTGAAAAGATATTAATAAATTTTCTTGAGCTCAACAAACGTATTAGTTTACAAAATTGTATATATTTGACGGCTGAGCATATGGACTATGGATTGGAGCTGTTATATTAATTTTCCATTCAATACATTCTACATTGAAAAACACGATATCTTACATCAAAGTCAGTACAAGATGGGTTAAAAAAAATACCTCAAAAAAGTATTTCGCACATTTTCCATGCTTAATTTGTTACATTCTCTTTTTTTTTAATTTATTGTTTAGGAACCTGCTTTCCTTTTTGAATAAAATACACAAGTCGCACGCACACGGTGTTTTACACCAACGACGAGAGATCAAACAGACCAGATGAGCCGCGCCGGTTCACCTTTCTAAAACAAAAATGCGTGCGCGCCCCTCGAATGGACGAAAACGTGCCAAATAATAAATTAGACCGTGATATAATCTGGCGTCGCAGTTGCTTCCCACCGAGCTTTTAACTACAAATTAGCTTTTACGCAACCTGAAAAGGGAAAATTTAATTTTTCGGGAGGGTAGAAAGTTGCATTTGTTTTTTTTTATTCAGTGACATGAGGCTTATTTAGGCCAGGACGCGCACCATTTTCTAATTTTTGTCAGATGGACAGGACTCATTATTTTGTCATCTTGTTCAAACTGACGCATGCTGTTATGTACAGCTTAATTAAAAGTGAGAAAGTTGAAGAATAGATAATTGGTCGTCCGTTGCAGCAGT